GACGATTCGATTTGTATTAGGAAATTAGTTCTCGTTTTGATTATTATGCATTTCGTGAATATTGAATCCTTGGCTGCTACAAAAATAGCAGGCCCATTACATCTACCGTTCATCTGACACGATTATATCATTGTTTCAGCATTTTCATGGACAAGGTGCACGTTTTTAAGCCCGGAATTTGAGGCATGCACTGCAGTTTTTAAATTATATTTTGTTGTTTGAGCTCAACAGCTAATTTCCGTGATTGACAGATTAATTTACTATAGGATGAGCCTCAATTTCAGTCAATGTGACTAAATCTACACAATGCTTGGTAATTTTGCTCCTTAAATGTAGTATTTTAGATATTATTAAACACAGAATATTTGTTTTCAAAGAAATTTAATTTTTTACACATATTCCAAAAGACTTTAACAACAGCCTTTGTTACCAGTGAGCATTACTTATCGACTCGCAGTAGCTTTCCAGTGCAATTTCAGACTCATGTTCACAATCATTACGACGGATTAATAATCTCATAGTTTAAGCAAATGTCAACCACAAGCACATTAAATTAACTTCGTAGGACACCTTTGGGCTGTTGATCAATATTCATTCTTCATAAATATGTAAGGAGACTTTGTGTGCCAGTTTGATTCCCACTTCAAGGACGCACGCAAAATAATACATTCATCATAAGATATTGAACAGAAGAGTGCCTACCAATTATCTCACGCTCCGTACATGAGGGATTTCAATTGGGTTGGTTGGGACTTGGTAACGTAGTTAGCTATGCACTGTATGGACTTGCTACTGAAACTTAATCTTGGCGATAGACACATTTAAATCAGTACCAGCCAGCACATAACGAGACAGATTCTGCAAAGTTCACAAACAGCCTGATTATCAAATGTGTACTGCTTGGTGTCTCTCCATCCATGTACCTCACACATTTCGTACACAACACGGTCTGGTACCCTGCAACAACGCTACAGTTTGATGCATAAACTTGAGAATAAGCAAGATTTAGCTATCAGTGATGCATAATAATATGCAATATTATTCCTGAATGGCACACTCGCAAGCAAGCAGCATTAACGTGTTTGAAGCGAATAGAGTTGAATTGTGGATTTAGATTTTTCACAAGGGAGTGAAGTAAGAGTAAAAGTACAGGTTACCAGAGGAGCTCTACTTACCTCTTTGTTGCTGAATTGGCTGGCTGGCTGGGCTGTTGTTGTATTGTGGATTGTGTTGCATGGATTTATTGAGTAGTGTCTCTTCCGTGGCTTTACCAAGATCATCGTTTGCGTTGTGGTAGCTGTTGTGGGGCGTCTCATCGACTTTCCTAATTTCTGGATTTCCTCATTCGAATCTCATTGACTCGTTGACAATTTTGACATTTTTTAATGTAGAGGATTGTCAATTGGAAGAAAATCAGTTGTGAAAAACATTTTGTGACGTAATAAATCTTTACATGTAAAAAATAGGACAAGTATTGTTTTAAAATAATTTGCCAATGGTTATCAAAGTGTGGAAAAAGTGATGGGTTCAGGAGAATTTATTTGGGCACGTACACCTACTGCGGATAAATGAATCTTCCATTGAGGTTACAGGTTAGTGCTGCTGCCTACATAATTGGTAAATGAATTCTGAATCTGAAAACCAGAAGAGGTGGCGAAGAAAAAAAGGTGCAAGGAAACCACTCGAGTCGCAAAAATCTATTGAGGCTTTTATTTGGTGTCACAAACTGCACGTTTCTGAGGAAGCGTCTCACTCTGCAGTATTGTATTCCTAGTAGACAAAGTAATATCGTCGTGAAAACAATTACGTGTGATGAGATAAGAAATCTCATAATACAAATTCTTGACAGGGCAAGCAGCTCAATAAGAGTGTAATAATAAGTAATTGAAAGGGTAAACGTGATCCAAGTTCACTTTGCCCAATTTACGTAATTTGTACATACATACACCTCTCCACTTATGATCTGGTGCAGGCGAGGTAGTGGAATTGCAACTTGTAAGTGAAATTGATGCCAATAGTGCTGGCAGTCACACAGCCAGCCACACACATAGTCGTAGTCGTGTGGTGTTGGTGCTTTACAGTGTTTAAGATTACAACTTTCTCTAAATGTCTGAATTTGATTCGTTAGTTATATCACTTCCCGTACACGTTTCTACTTTATTGTCGCAGAATTCAGTTGCACATTCCCACTAAAGTTGTTGATTAAACAAAGCAAGCAAACCGCAGTAGGCATTTTGGGCGGTGTGAGTTTGATTTCAAGATAGAGCTTAAATTTTAAATTTTGGTTTCGCTTCAATCAAACTTTAAAATTGCATTACATTCAAAACCGAAGGTAATTTGGGTGACGTTGCGTATTTATGCACAGATCGTATATCAATCCACAAGTGGTTGCATTGTGTGGCATTTGTTTGTATAGAAAGGAAATTGAACGGCACGAGTTATCGAATTCCAAATTCATGCTGATTTATGTCTGCAATCAAAATGAGTTCATTTTTAATTTTAAAAGATCATGTTACAGAATGGCTCAGTCTGTCCCATTCCCGACTTTGGCTGACAACTTTCTCTTTTTAAAAACTAATCAAGCGTGATAAATTAAGGATAAAAGTGGTTTCATCGACGTAGACAAAATTAGACATTATTATTAATTATTAATGAGATATTATCAAAACCGTATTGATGATATCGCAACGTGAACTGAATATTTATGTTTATTTATTTATGCAAAATTTATTAATTGCGGTTTTTATTCGCAGCAAATTTTCAATCTCATGTATTTTATAGCCAAGTTGTTTGACGGAAGTTATTATTAAAAGAATGCATAAAATATGTTCGTATGTATGTATGTTGTCAAGAATTTGTTGATACACACATAATATAAAAGCTGCTCCTTAATTCTTAACAAGTTGGGATACATATAATTTAAAATATATTGAAAAGATTCAGATTTTGAGGAGATATTGACTTTCATTGTCTGTCAATAACTCAGATAGTAAAGTTGAGAGCCAATGCTGCATAATATGTATACACTTTTATGCTGTAAACACATACTGATTCACGAATTGTTCTTTAATATTCTCCTCACTCCACAGTTTGTTTCCAAAACTTTAGCACTTTTTTTAGTGGTGTATAAATGAAATTTGTGAGTGGTAATATCACTGCATGGCAATTGGCTATGCAAAAGTAGGAGTGCATGAAGTGTGTAAATTTGGCAGACTGAATTTGCGCTGAGATGAAATCTCAAATGTTGATGCTGCATAAAAAAATATTAAGCAATTGTGGTTTCAAATATTTTGCTGCCAATGTAAAATGTTATTGACAAGATGAAGAAACCAAAAAATCGTACAAAATCATTTGTTAAAGTAATGCATAATAGTTTTGTAATTCATCTAGATGACACTTTGAGACAATGTGAACAGACACTAAAGGGTTCTGAGTTCCACAATTCGTGAGCAGATTTGTATTCTACTTAATAAACTGGGAAAACATCAACAGTGTAAAAGAATTTTATTGTGGTTATTTGTTTATTTTTGGAGGATGTACGCGATATTTTAGTATGTTGTCTGTCACCCGTTTTCTTCATAAATTGGCAGGTACCAGCTACATACGTACTACGCTTTATCACTATCACTAAACTATGGCATGCAGGCAGTTCAATCTATTGTATTCTGCGAGTATATAAAGGAATTATCCATGTATTTTGCTGGATTTGTGTAAATTATTGAGAAAAGTTGCGAATAGCTGAATTTTCTCATCCATTGTCTACCCTAAGTCTGAGAACTCCTCTTTGTTTTATACAATAAAATTGTACATCAGACAGAAACTGTAAAAACAATTCCGCGTGCGATTTCAGCCATCCCATTGGCATATTCAAGCAATGTTTGTAATGGGAACTATTTTTTATAGCCTTAGCTGATTATTATTGTAACTATCTTTTTTCATCGTATTTGTTATCATTCCTGTATGAATCTACTTATGTGGAATCTTCTAAAAGTGATGCATCATGCTGCTGCCCAAATTAGTTGGCAATTTGTTCTTGATATTGATACTATTTATAATTTGTTTAATACCACTTGCAACAATAGATTGACAAATGATTATTGAATGGGAATCAAGATAATGAGATATTCTATAGTCAATAGAGTTATCGTACCGCAATGCGTCAATAGTATTAAACTTGTCGTCACTATCTTCGTCACCAGACCAGACCAATATTCAAGTTTACTTTTTATCTCATTGTTTCTTGGATGTCACTTTTAATTTCACGTTAATTCATAACTTGATCCACATTCTTCCACAATTCCAAACCCTGGCGTTGGACGATGATGATGATCACGATGTTTCTTCGCGTGGTGTTAGTTTTGCAGTTATCTCTCTGTTTTTTTCCTATTTTGCATTGAAAACAAGTCGAGTGAGAATTGTAATAGATACGAACAAGTCCTTGAAATATAAACTTTGGAGCGATTTCCTTAATTATAATTAACTCAGCTTAAGGGTGGCTTGCAACCAGAATGGCGAGGTGAGTGGCGAAGTAACCTGTAATCAGCATACATATTGCATTGTCCAGCAGGTCTGGGAATGCTGAATCATGTTGTGCAATAGGGTATTAAAATGACGGGCTGGAGAACTATCTCAGCATGTATATCGACTGCATGCAAGGAACACAAATTACAATCCAAGTTTTATTAGGAGTCAGCTTTTCCTGATCCCTGATAGTAATTACATGTGCCCAAAGTCCTTGACACTACTGCGAGCCAATCCTTGCAAAACTTGGTGCCAAGACATGTATGTACATATGCACATATATAATACATGCAAGGTGGCAACTATTTTATAAAAACGGGAAGAACATGGAATATGTAATAAATATGTACGAGATCTAGCAGGATAAATTCTGGAATGTCTGTATTTATGAAAATTTGGCTTTGCAATATTATATTTTACTACAATGCTAATTACTTTATAGCGTCAGATATTTAATACATTTCATTTTTTGATTGCAGGATAATTTAAGAACATCTGCTACGACCGGCCCTACCATGGGCGATATTTTAGAATTTTCCATATCCAATTTTCTAAGCTTGCTTGGATCGTCGAGAAGAAAATCTTGGAGTTTGCTATCTTCCAGAAAATTCGTTTTTCACAGTTCTTCCTCTGTTCTATTATGGATCTCTTTAGCGTTAGTTTGCATTATCAGCCATGGCTCAGCCACCCCTTCAAATCAAAATCAGGTAATTCAACAAAGAGAATGCGTTTCCTCATTCGCGATTCTTATAAAAACTCAAGTGCAAGTCTCGTTACACAATTTTTCTTGCCTATTTGCAACAGATTCATACCCATATGGATGAGACGGAACTGCGGCGAATTTTCCAAGTGGATAGTCATCATCAAGGTAAATTTTGACACACTCGTTATTATTCAACGGTAAAAAAATTAATTTTTCATAAATAGCACGGCAAGAAATCGTAGTTTTTTTTGCATTACTTGATAAATATCCGTAACAAACAATGGTCATCGATATGTATAAAATTATGTAAAATTATTTATTAACTCGACTTATCGCGGTATCGTTATTTCCCTTGAACAGATTGATTCTGGACATATTTTTTCTAAAAATATCTTTATAGAAGTAGTAGAAGTTTACGTCTAACGTGGTTCAACTCAATAATTCCTCACGTCGAAGGTCAAGCACCAGTTTAAACCAACGAATAAGGGAACATGTTATACATACAAGCTAGCTCATCAGCCTTTGATGTCTGAATGCCATTGATGGTCTGCTTCACAACTTGACCAACAATGAGAAACACATTAAACTTTTACTTTCCTTGAAACTTTTTGATGACATTGTGAACCTTGTCCACTCCACTATTTACATACGAATATGAAGCAGTGGGACAAAACCGAGGTTAGTCGGTTAGTTTGGCTAAGGCAACAACTTTGGGTTTCTGGTTTTCGAGGTCAACGGATGAGACCATTTATTATAAATAAATATTGCACTTCTACCATAATTTTAATATATAATATTTAAATACATCACAATCTCCCAATGTCAATAAATATTACTGTTATGAAAAATATAGTGAAATTTAATGAATAATCAACGTTACACACATATTTACATATTTACATACACATTTTTTGCAGTGCCAGAATATCAAGTTGTGTCAATTCATTCAAGGTCCAAGAGATCGATGGATGAAAACAGACTAGTTAGTTTCAATGCATTTGGGAAAGACGTTCGTCTTCACCTGGAGAAGAATCCTCACCTGGTGAAGCAGTCCCTTCGAATGTGGATTGCTGAGCCAGATTCATCCGAAGGAGTCAATTACAAGGAGTTGCCTCAGGTATGTGAAACAACAAATCCCACCTACACAAATATACAAATTGCCTATTGTTCGTAGTTAAGCCTTTGGTTTTAAGACTATTTTTGGCATTGTGTTTCCGTCAACAAAACATAAAATTTGTTCAGCCTGGGCCTTTGTCCTTGTGTAAAGTCAGTGCCATGACGGATTACATTCTCATTTCTTGTACGTGCATGTATACTGCTCTACGATTCCTTGAAACCAGCAGCCGCCGGACGGACGGCTTTGACCATATAATCTTGGTGAATTGTAAAACGGAGCAAACCATTGCAGAGATTCAAGTCAAGGGCGTCATGTTGCACAGCTTTCAATTTTATTTCTCTTTATCGTAGCAAAAACCTGGAATGCAAACTTTTTACTTTGTCATCAGGACATTAGGATATCACAAAAATTAGCATATTCTGAGTCTTACCTGAGACATTTAATTTTGGCCGTTCAATTGAAATAAATAATTGCTGCTCTACAAGATGCATTGTTCTACTGTTTAATATACAAATTACTATCACGCAGATGTGTTGACTAGCACAAAACAAATATTCGAGGATGATTGATGGTTGGGCATTTTTTTTTCTTTTGAACATGATTAATTCTGTCTTATCGCTATTGATTCGCAATTGGTGATGCAAACTTCGTAGTTAATAATATAACGTCCTTGACTCTTCTGGAATGCTTTGCGTTGAACAATAGAGGTCCCGTCAATTATGTAATGAGCCTCCTGTTATAGATCCATATGTGCATATACAAATGTGCACTACATACTTACGCATTAAAAAAATTAGATGATATATTAAATATTGCGCACAAATAAATACATAGCTGATAGGTTCACTTTCACCAGTAATTGAGCATCCATATTTACCTTTTTGTTACATGAGAGGCTAAAAATGGTCATAAATGCTTAATTTTCTATCGAGATGAGGTATTTTATTTTATTTGGCTTGTTGAATTTATTTTTTAATTAGTGACTGGTCTGGTATTAAATCATTGCCTACTGCTGATATCATACTTTGTGTTTTTTCTCTTGGTATGATCAAACAACGAGTATTTTCCATACCTCATTGTCTCACCTTGGTCTCATGAGCTATTTGCATAGTTTAATTGCAGTTACAAAGACCAATTTAGACTGTACTTTAAAAGTACGAGGCGTGAAATCGCAACACGATAAATTCATAACATATTTTATTTCCACAGAAGAATTAAGCATCGTAATGTTGAATTCTTATAGTTGTAAAATTAGTACTAATATGTAATGAATAATTTTATTGTGTACGAGTGCAATTATTTTATGCTAACGAATTCCCTGGTATTGAACCCGAACTTGTTTCTGACTAATTTCATTTGATCAAGTAAATATACCCAAATTTAGATTTATCCATATACAAATGTTGTACACATGTCGACATAATGATCATCCAGCTTGAGATATATATTTCAATATGCACGTACAGCGTTCAAATCCACAAATATCTAGATTGGCTAAAATTAACTTTGGTGATGTGCAGTTTGATTATCATGGCACCACAGAAGCATTGAGTTGTTGGGAGCTTGAGCAACACGTTACGGTTGAAATGGCAGCTAGAACAACTGCTGATACTTTTTTTTTGATGAACGGCTGCTCTGCGAACCCCACCCTTCCTTCCTTTCACCTTTGTTCATTCACCACCAATTGGGTCAGGGGTCAGTCCCAGTCATCCTTTGTCAATTCCATGTTGTGCAGCTATGTACAGTGCGTTGCATCTTTCGTCAAAATCATGAAGGTGCCGCAAATTTTTTTATCCTCAGATCAAACTTGAACTAATTTTAATGAGGGACACCGTCAACAATCAGGGCGTCCAGGATGAAAACTCCCATGCAAAATAGCTTACTTTTTTAAGACAACTTTTTGCAAGATGAAAAAAACATGCATTTTGTGTTGTGCAAAAACTTTAGTTCCGTTATGCATCTGTCATGTTCCTGTCTATGAAATCACTCTTTAATATGTTTCCTTTGCAAACCCATTGCGTAATCCATTGATCAATATTTACTGCAGACAAATACTCGATAGGTTGGGTTTTACTCCAACTTATAACTACGTATGTACCTGCTATTTAATTAAATTAGCATTAAAATGACTTTAGGAATTTTTTGTACGCTTGGTAAATTTATAATTACTGATGACACTGGATTTTCCTTTCTATGCGATACAAATTATTATTTTTGTTTCTGATCTAACGAGATCTGAACGATGACGGTATCTAGTAAAAATACTGATAAAGAATGCACAAATTCTCGGCACGAAATATTAAACGACTATGTGATAAATGTTTTTTTTAAAATTACAACCTGTCAAACTTCCTCGCTATACGGTTCACTAATTATTCATCGTCTTTGAAATAAATACTACTTTCAAGTAGCGTAGTTATTAATTTGTGTTATTTTTTGAATATAAGGAAGCGGAAGAGGATATTGGGGAAGCATACCAAGATGAGAGTAATCAAGCAGGTAAGTAAAGTTTCGGTGCAATTATGCCTTCAAAGTTTGCATAAGGATATTTCATTTGCTTACTTCAAATTGGCAAATGAGTTACAAACAAACAATTCCCCGGGATCAGACAACGAATGACAATTATTTCCATCTTTCTAGCTCTGCTCATTCATCATGACAAAAACGATGGCAGCTTACTTATGGTATGTCCCATCACGTTCGTACTTCTATGCAATTAATTAACCAATCCAAGTAGCTTCAACTATTTAATGAGTAGAAAATATTTCAAAGTTTCGACTTGAAGAAAACACTTCCTCAAATTAATTTATAAAAATAACCTCAATAGGACGGCATGGTTGGGTCCAATCTCGTTGTGAAACCTGTCCCCACGACCCTTCGGCAACATTCTCCAACGCCAAAACGGGACGATTCAGATGAAGCATTCCTTGATGACGAAATGGGCGACGAATGGGTCGTCAAAAACGGTGCGCAATATACATAATAATTTATATTTATTCTAAAAACTGTTTTCATTGGTGCTGCATATGCATACCTAATTACGTACTTATTTATGTATGTACCTATCTGGGACCTTCAATGAAAATTTAGATGACATATTTCTTAACCTATCTTAACTTAGACATGCAATTCTACGTAAGGGTTTGTTATTTAATTGTGTCAACGTATTCCCCTGCCCTTTCGATGTTGTATGCTTATCACACAATCTCTTCATTCATGCATGTATTTAATGATTGTTGTAATTAAACTACAAAGCGCGGAAAATAATTCCAAAATTTTTACATATTTTGTCCGTACATTCTTTGGACTTATGACGCTCAGCGTACTTATTAGTTTTATGTAAACCATTCATGATTGTCTCTTCAATAATATTTTATTTATGGTTTCAGGATTTCCTAACATGAATGACTCAATCCCATTTCTGAATAATACACAAGGAATGCACATCGTATATCAAACCAAGCATATCGAATCCCATTCTGACTACGCTTTCATGGAACCCGATCAAAACCCTTTTAAAAGTTCTAGACAGAAGCGACATGCCGATCGCACCAAACGGGATGCCCCATACGTCATTTATCCCGAAATTTTAGTAATTGTTGACTACGACGGATACAGACTTCATGGCGGAGATAACTTGCAGGTCAAGCGCTATTTCGTTTCATTTTGGAATGGAGTTGATTTGCGATACAAGGTTTTGAGAGGTAAATTTATTTCTGAACATTTACGATTTACATTGTGAAATGACTAATTGAAAAATAATTTACATTACAGGGCCTAAAGTTAGAATTTCAATTGCTGGAATTATTATTTCAAGGGTACCCTAAGACTAATTACCCAGGTTTTAAGTGGTGATACAGGAATTGAGAAATTATATTGACTGTCTTTGATTTACAGGGTCGTGACGCCACTCCCTATCTTGAACGAAACCGTGTTGGTCGAGAGTGAGTTATAAATACATACATAAAACATACTAAATATGCTACACCAATATTATTCTTTTATAAGTACACAGTCTTTTTTGAGACAAGACATTGACAGATTTCATGCTAAAATGTGATATGAATTTTATTTATTTACTAAAGTGCGTTGGACTCCGCCTCAGCTCTCACAGATCTTGGCAAGTACCTGTTTCAAGAGCGAAGATTACCTGTGTATGATATTGCCGTAGTGGTTACAAAGTAAGTTGGTGTGAAATATATAAAAAAAATCATTAACTTCACGTAATGTACTAAACTTGTCATTCAGTCGAGGTCGCTTCAGCAATTTTGTGTTTTTAATGTCGCCAAGTAGTGAGTGAGGGGAGATAGCATTCATAATAAGACAAGGAAAGAATCACGAGTGGCAGATTAAGCTATTTCGTCAAATTTATTTCGTATTTCGTAGGACTTAGCCAACGTTCAAAGAGGCACAACAGCAGTTGTAGAGAGAGAGAGAGGGTGTGTTCGTCGCAGTTTTTCTGCCTTCCCATTCCATTCCTTTGTTCTTATTGTAGACTATTCGCAAAAAGTTGGTTATCTTCCGTACCATTAAGAATAGTTGAACGCAGTGAACCACACCAATCTTAGCTTTTTCCATCCATCGCCACACAACACGAGTTAATTTGTCGTTTTCTGCACTATTTCTTACTTGACCCCAAACCACGTTCATGATAAGTTGTAAACATATTACTATTATACGTATTTAGCTATTATACGTGTTCGTGGCTCACCCATGCAGGTTCTTTGATGCAGTCAGTTCTTACTAATTGTAGAGTAAAAATGTTTTTACTATGACTTGCAACATAATCATGTTGTTGGTGCGATAAAATTTCCTTTTCGTTTGATCATAAAAATTACAATCTGGCTAATAAAATGAGGCAGTGATGCGAGTGTGACTCGGTAATAATGGTGGTAGCCGCAAAGGAAAATTGCCGTTCAAATCTGTTTTTGATAGGCCAATATTAATACAAATTTATCAGTATCAGATTCCGGGCTTCTGAGGGTTAACAATTAACGTCAGAAATTACAGGTTTTGAATTGTAGGTATGATATGTGTCGTCGTCGAGGTGATGGTGGACGATGCAGCCGTGGTACTGCTGGTACGTTCTTGGAGTAAAAAAAAAGAGTTCAAATTAAAGAAATGCCAGTTAACTTGATGCCAAATGTACAGAAATAACAAAATCTGATGGGGATTGATTAACATTGTAAATGAACTTAAAGTATACCACATTAAGACAAAATAGAGGTTGCATAGTATTAGGGCACCAGTAAACACGATTTTTTTCAGCAAGCATTATTCTTAATTTGACTCAGATTAGACATTGTTATTGCAAATATCTAGGCTGGACATGTGTCGACGGCAGTTTGCCAACGACGTTTGCAACCGTGGAACTGCAGGTAAATCCACGATAGCGAAACCTTTGCCCCCATTTAGTCCTATCCATTTTCACTCCTTGTACCCACCCTTTACAAACTTGCCTGAAATCCTTCACATTTTGACCCACCATGAGTCCAAGCAAGCAGCGTCGTTGTAGTTTAGTTATTTCAAAGCACGATTATTTATTGCTCAGCACAAAATTTATTCAATGTTTAGTTAAATTATGCAGCATTGTAGTTTAGTTTACGTTCAACAGTGTCGTATCTTTAAGTAATGCCAATAGTATACTTGTGTTTTAAAATTTTATATTAGAGTGATTGTGATGCGTGTGTGTCTTGGTAATGATTTTTTAAATGAAATTGAGATATGTAGTAATACTTTAGCACTAACTTTACTATTTTTGGAGTGGCTTAATACAATTGCTCGGTAATGGTACGCAAAAAAAGTTATTAACAAAATTTTGAATTACTGATAAGAATTCGATATTAGTAATAATGTTCATATTGCTAACAGCTTGATGGAGGGCTCAAGTTACACACAGGTGTATATAGTCATCTACTTTTAATCCTATGCTGAATGCTTAAAAGCTTTATCCAATTAACTCAATTGTCACTCATTTTTGGTGCACAGATTAATCAAGTCCTAAAATTCCTAACCAATCTTTGTACAATATTCTTATTAATTTGCCAGTAACCCTCAGCTTAAACATTAAATTACCCATAAAGTAATTTGCTATCAATGGGTATTCAATTTATTTCCTGTATGGACATAGGATTTGCCTATGTTGGAGGGGCTTGCGTAGTCAATAAACGGCTTGAGAAGGTCAATTCAGTCGCCATTGTCGAAGATACCGGTGGATTTTCTGGGATTATTGTTGCAGCCCATGAAGTCGGTCATTTGTAAGTACATACCGCAACACAATTTCAATTATGTACTTGCATTACTAGGACCTTTATTATTTTTGTTATCAGATTGGGATGCGTTCATGACGGTTCACCAGCTCCGAGCTATTTGGGTAAGTAGAATTTCATAAATGATGCGAGATTTGTTAATAAAAGATGAGAAGCGATAAACGCACGTTGATCATTTGAACTTCACCGGGTGATACTAACTTCAAAATTTTGAGTTAATATCACTCCAGATTTATACGACAGGTTTTTTGGATCTTGACCCTATATTTTTCGTTACAGGAGGTCCAGGGGCTCAGAAGTGTAGGTGGGAGGACGGTTACATTATGAGTGATCTACGTCACACCGAGAGGTCTACAAATTTAAAAATAAAAAATGTAAATAAAAATTGTGTGTATTTCTAATCAAAATTAAATTTGTACCCAGGGGTTTTCAATGGTCGGCTTGTTCCATCAGCCAGTTCCACCATTTCTTAAAGTTAGTTATCATGCTGATACGGACAATTATTAAGCTGAAGTGTGGTGGCAGTTAAAAATCATTATTTTCTACAGCGGAGACACTGCCACTTGTTTGTACAACTCCCCCCATGAAGATGGGTCTTTACCACGCGTATTACCAGGAAAGCTTTTGAGTTTGGACGCTCAATGTCGAAAGGATAGAGGAACTTCTGCCTGCTTCGTGAGTCTCACGTTATAAATGTGTACATAATTAAAGTTGAGGTTTTTTGTATTTGAAATCTTTTAAATGAACATACAGAAAGACGACCGTGTGTGCGCCCAACTGTTTTGTTTTGATGCCTCGTCAGGATACTGTGTTGCTTACAGACCTGCCGCTGAGGGATCTCCTTGTGGCCAACAATCGGTAAGATACTGATATTCGGGAGATTGTCATAAATGCATATGTATAATTTCTACTACTTGTTAGTACTGGACTGGAACACTTTTCACACTTCTCAATTAAATTATCAATTGTTTGATTTTCAGAGTTTTTGTGCTTCGGGCCGCTGCGTTGTTGAACACGAAAATATTATACCTGATTATTCGCAAATCGCTCCCGTAATTTCTCGTGACCCATTAAGCAAAGGATCTTCATTTACTTTTCCCACCTCGTCGTAAGTTACATGTGGAGCTTCCGGTGCCCTTATTTTTTGTTATCGATATAATTACTAATTAACCAGCATGTTGAGTTTTACTACTGCATGACTAAACTTGCATTTGAGACCTGGACATTTAAACCGATACACAGAACTATATATTAGTATGCAGAGGAAGAGGTTGACGAATGTTGAAAGCTTATTACATACTTGTTAAAGTTTACGTCAGGATCACTTTTTTCAGCACGATTTTAAATATTGCCTTGCACGAATATCGCAAATACTTATTTAACACAATAAATGGTTTTCTGTATGTCTGACAAAATTTTGGGTTACAGGTTCTCCCATTCGTCATTTTCAAACTCTGACATTGACCTGCCAAACGGTGAAGACGAAATTCCAATAGACATCGACGAATGAACACATTGACTGAACTGCACTAAAAACTGACTGTACATTGTTTTACGTTTATTCCATTCTTAATAATGAAGCATGCTATTTTGCACTATATTCATCAAACGCTTTCTTGTAACGCTTTTATTGTGTAACATAGTTAGTGCATGCAAATATCGTAATTAACAATGTAATTTTGTCTTAGTTATGTAATTGGTAATGGAAAAAAAACATTTACGTTAGAAATAATTAAATAGCGTGGAAATAGAAAATGTAAATATTAATCCCAACAGATCTGTAGTTCCTACAACCTTACGGCCAAAAAGTAGCAAAGCACCTCCGCTGGTAACCCCACGATCTGCGGAGTTGAGTTCCACGACTAGAACGACCACACGGCGAACAACCACAACTACTGCTGTATCAATTTATCGAAATAATCAGCCAGTTCCCAGCAGAAGTATAAAATCTCAATTTTACGTAGTCTCGCTTTTCTATTTAATTAGCTGTGGATAGTATTTATTTTTTGGCAGCACCTGCCATTTTTCGTACAATGTTGAGATTAATTTTATCTTAATTATCTCATTATGATGATACTAATCGTATCACGTTAATTGCACAGAATTAGATACTTTTAAATGCAGTAAAAAGTACTCGTATATTTATTTCAGGGTCCAGAGATGTTTAGAGCTTTATTGTAGTAAATCATCAATAATTAATTTAATAATTTCGACGATTTGGAAGCTTTTATTTGAACAGTATCAATTTAGATTATGAATAATTCCTAATATGTATTTACAGTTTATTTTTGTGCTCATTTTTGTACAGCTCAATAAGTAGATGCAGAATGAAAATGCTTTCAATTTGCACCTCTTCCAGGAGGGACTGCTAACACTTTTGACATGCATGACATGATGTCGCTTGCAATGCAACTACCTTCAAAATATTATTATCATTATTACAATAATTAAGTTGACAAAAATATTAAGTTTAAATATTATTTTAATTTTCGTTTTGACTGAATTATTGCAGGAGACAGTGATATCGCAGCCTGTGTGGAAGATAGAGTATCAAGCATTGGTGATCTGAATTGTAAATCTTTTTTGGAAAAATATGGGTTCAAATTTTGCACTTCGAATTACATAAAACAGAATTGCTGTTCTTCCCACAAAACAGTTTGCTCTGTTTAAAGCAAACAAACTAGTATTTATGTTTAAATGTATGACGCATGTTTGAATTTTGTTGACTGAAATTAAAACGAACCGACTAGTTATTATTAAAAATAAATAAATCGAAGGAACAACGCAAATCTCGTACTCATTCTTTACTAAATCATATCCATTACATCTTTATAATTTTAGAATACATGTAAGCATACTTGATAATAGATATAAACTTTAGAGTTTGATCGTTAAACGAGCAATAAACATATGCACATACATTATTGAGGTTGACATGTTAAGTATGCATGTATTTATGTATGCCCTAATTTAATGTAACGCTAACATTGCATTGCTATTTTTTGCTATCAGACATTGAATATACTGCGTACCACAGCTACAGTGGTGAAAGTTGTCATTAAGTGCAAGTGGTTGATTTTATGTCAATACAATAATATTTCTAGAGTATAAAATATATTATTATGAATATAGCGCTGGATGCAAAGTTCACATTGAATGATAAGGATAGTGAACAACTACGTGTAAACTTTGACCATTCAATTAATGACGTAGGATCCTCTGGTACTTTCTTACTGTTTTGCTGGACTTGCAAATGCTTTTCACTGAACTTGGAGTTTGGATCTTCAACTTCCATGAACTTGAAATTTCTGTCAACATACTTGAGCGGTTCTCTGTAAAAGTTGGGGGGAACAATTGCTAGTTCTCCAGACCGTTCCATATCTTCCCTCCGCTGAATTGGATATCTTTCTAGTTGATACCGCTCCTGTGCAGAGACATATTTTCCAGGCGGTACTGGTGGCGCAAATGGATTAGATTTCACTCTATCGTTTGCTTTATCAAGTATATTTTGCCAATTTTTTGCATTTTCTTCCTTATAGTCCCAATAACTTTTGTACCCTGAAGGAGGAGGCGGTGGAAGTGTTGGCTTGTATCCTATGTAGTATTACCATCAACAAAATAAGACAATTTATACTTAAACACATAATAATTTACACCGACCATAAACTGAAATTGACTCACCAGGAGATTTTGACTCATTGGGATCATAAAAAATGAAACTATTGTAACTATTTTTTTTGTCATCTTTAGGTGGTTCGCTATCCGAGGGTTTATTGTTTGGCCATGCTAAAATGTTCTATTTATTAGTTTATCATACTCATGCATAATCAATCACTATTACAATCAAATTCTTCGTCGTTACAGTACTTTCTCCAATATATGCAGATGCTTTAACTCGGTTACCTTTGGGAGTTGGGGGCACGGGGAAATTATTTGCTTGCTGATTCTGGAATGGATGTGCTTGGCCGTAATTTATATTCGGATCTGCGACATGCACAACACATTAGAGCAATGTTTATTTTTAACAGTAGTTTAAATGACTTAACTATTTATGTTGTTGGGAGGGCCATTATTGTACTGCTGGTTCTGGGGGCCTTGCCATGCAGGCTGGCGCTGCCCTTGTTGTACTGGAGGTTGGGGTGGATGATGTTGAACTGGGCCATAATTGGGAGGCGGCTGAGGTCCTAAAATTGCATAGATGCTGAATACATTCATAAAAATATGTTATCAGAAGGTTGGGACTCAACCAGGTCTTGGCGCAGCCTGTCCTCCTCCGTTGAAACCTCCCAGATTTCCGCCACCATTATTTATATTTTGAGGACCATTTTGGTACTGGGTGTTGGTGTTCACACTTTGAAGATACACGTCTTGCGCTTGATACTGTTGTGGGGGAGGAGGTGGAGGGGCTCCCCATTGCTGCCCTGGGTCAGCATAGTCTGAATTTACGTAGTCGTAATTTATAAAAATTCTTCGTGGATGGTAATCGTCCTGAATGATATCGGTATAATCAATAATACGACCTTCCTCTTAGCTTCTCATAGTATGGTGATAATACAGTAAAGTGATAATACTGCATATTAATGGTATACCTCTTCAAACCCACCTTTGTATGGATTTATTGGAGAAAGTACTGTAACGAGTACAGTGGCAATCTGCAAAAGTTTAAATTGCATTGTGTATTAATTACCGCTGACGACACCAAGGAACTTAAATAACTTTTATTGTGAAATTATTTGTAATTTCCAAAGGAATACGAAACTCGAATCAAGAATGCAGTTCTGTATAAACTGGACGCTTATGGTAACACATTTATTGCTACTTCCAAAGTAGTAATGCTACCAGCCAAATGCATATTGTAATTTTTTCAAAATGTTAATACTGCATAAAACCCTGGGTAGCCATCATATGCCCGAGCCAGTCATTTCGCCGATTCTTAATTTCAATTAAATCTTAAATTACACCAGTTTGATCACCCTTAAGGGACCCATGTTTTACTAAAGTGTAGTTTATGTGCAGACATTTCTTCATATATTCAACTTTGTGGAATTAATTGCCAATCATAATCATGCGCATATGTAACTATTATCATGAATACAAATCATACAAATAACAGGACTAATTTAGACACGTTAATTCGTACTTATGTAATATTTTTCGTATTATATAATACATGTCGTATATAACCACAAAAATCTCATCGATATATTATTAATTTATGTACATCACGTACGTACGTACAAAATATCGTATCAGTACGTGTTCATCTTGAGAAAAAGAGAGTCTGTACACGTAGATAAGTCTAAAAACTAAAACAAAACTGACCAATACCGACAATTATTTGAGAATTGAGGGAAAAGCTTGAACTTGATTTGGTTTTCCCTGAGCGTGCAGCAGTAAGTTTGTAGTAGTATCATTATCATTACCAACTCACTGGCATACTTTAGCTATGCAGGAGCATAGACCAATTTACTAAATACTTACTTTATAATGTTACACCGTGTAACTTACACGTAAGGATCAAAGGGCATGGATGAAGGATGGAAATTAAGCCAAACCACAACCATTTCGTGCCCAGCGGATGAAAATGGTTAAACATGTTTATGCAGAAGTAGTGAGATGGTTTGGAGAGGTGCAAGCAGAATTATTGGGGTTACAAGTAAAGTTATCTCTCCTAGTCAAATGAGGCATCTCAAACTATCGTCTCAAGCAAAAGAGGTGCTTGCTAAGGAGTATCTTTGGATAACTTTTATTTGCTTCCAGCAGTGCATGTCAAAAATATAATCCACGATTGCAGTGATCTTTCTCCCCTCTCAAACGCAAGATACTCAGCACATACACTCCAAAAAATCGGTGCGGTGCAATATGGCGACAACTGAATCTGAGCTTCAGACCAATTTGGACAACGTTAACTTTGGCGACAAGGTTAATGAAGTTTCCGAGAACGTTAGGAAAGTGATTCAAAATTTGCTCCCACAAATTCTAAAAGGAGTCAATCTAAATGGTAAGAAAAGTTTTATTCTCCTCAACAAATTACCAAATGATGAGTAAATTGTAAGGCTGCGTGCTCCTACGTGAAGTTTGGTGGTAGGCAAAAATGTACTACTTTATTCGCTGATTATCATTTTTTGTTTATATTTCGTAATTTTCGCTATTGGTTGCAACGATAGGCTGCATACATAGTGGACACAGTCCACTGACAAACTCCGAACCGGATTCATGCACTGTACTTTTTGGATGCATCCTCCTACTTGCGTATCTCTTGCAAATATAATGTAATAGCAAATATAATTTGGTCAATCGTCAGGTCCTTCACCTTAAATCTTCATAGTTGAAGAAGGTGTGTGCATATGTGAGTTGGATCATATACGCATTACCAGTTGTTGTGCTTGTCTACATTCTATACACGTTTTAGTTCAACTTTCTGACTTCTGAGTCATTTTCTTGTAGCTGTACATTGCCGTGTTATTACAAAACCACCTTCAAGGGTTGAGATTTTACAAATTTTCATATAATTCACAGTGATTTTGACCTGCATGGGTGTAATCTTTCAGAACAATAAGACAAAGTTACCCTTTATGTGCGTTATGGAAGCTGGCCCTAGAAGATATTTCCTAAATGGTAAATAGATACTCGGTGTAAATTGTTTATTCAAGGATATCAGTTTATCTCTGTCTTTAGAATTTAACATTGTCCACTTATAATTTATCTTGAGAATGTACTTTTAAATTTTCTCATCACATCCGTCAATACGAGTTCCATGATAAAAGGCGTTTAATATAATTAGGATTTTTTCATCCAGGAAAACCTAGATAAACCATTGCAATAGTGTTATGTGTTTAATTATATAGTGAACGAATAGGAATATTAGATTTGAGACAGTATTTTTTTAAAAGTTGGTATCCTTGAATGTTTTTATCTACATATTACACAGCTTCTTAGCATCAAGTTAAGAAAGAGCTTCATATATGCAACTGTATTATATGACTTTCTGTCAAAGGTATCCATCCCGTAGAAAATAACCAACATTAAAGGATAAAGGATATTACATATCGGAGTATCTGGCTGGAGCTTTATATGCTGGAACTTGATTCGGCAACAAGCAGACTGACATTGCATTCCACATTTTCCTTTAGTGTGTCTTCATGTCCAGGGAAATTGTAAAGCTTCATCAGCATCACAAATATACATATTTACCAACCACAAATAATGACATGACACAACTTTTTCTTGAACCTGAAACTTATATATACACCCATTTGGCTTCCGAGACATTAATCTTGACCTTTGTTCAATTTCACTCGTGGATAGTCGTGGCTAAAAGAAATAGATAACCTTGAATACCAACTTTAAATTGTGTGTGTGAATAATTAGCCTGGTTGTGATTAAGTGTGCGCGTAAACTTGGTGTAATTAATTGACAAACGAAGCATATCATCACGAGATTACAAACAAATATGTGTCCAAAGAGATCAGACAGCCTTTTTGCCGTTGTAGGTTCGGGAGTGAATCAACTTCGTGAATTGGGATGGGAAACGGGGACGTTTGAGCAACAGTTTCGTGACCGTTTTCAACAAATCGGTAAGTTTTTACAAAATAGCATACGCAATGAATGATATGTCAATAACTATCGGAAATATTCATCATAGGACGGAGGGTGTCGAATATCCATCCCGTCGTCAATTCATGGATTCAATTTGCAAAGAATTATGCTGCGGAGAACCCCATGACCGCGCTCACCGCCCTGGCTCTGGCAATAACATGTGCAATTCCAGTCGTGGTCTTTCTCACATTTGCTTTGATTACGCTGTTGGTTACTTTCACCGGCTTTCTCTTTGTTGAAGGTTAAACATACTACACGTTGCACCCACTTGTTCCTTTAAAAAGGGGTAACTAAATTATTTTATTTGTTCAGGAACGATCCTGGGTTTCGCAGCAATGCTACTGGGAGGCATTTTACTCGTCGTGGGTGGCATCACTTTGTCATTCGTTTCATTCGTGCTTGTGTCTTACTTTGTGATCACCAAGATTTACACCAAACTCACTGGCGATCCTGCTCCTCACAGGTTTCTGACAAAAGTTCCATACATTGGTCACCTTTTTGCAAATATGGATCATCTTGGAAGCAATGGGGACGCCCCTAAAGTTCCGAACGGAAGTAATGAAGACGAGCCCCCAAGTGATGAAAGCTTGGCTCACACCGATTAATTAATATTGTTGCTCAAGTTATAAATACGATGATAAAAGATTTGATCATTCCTCTACAAATTATTTCGACCTACTGTAATAATTATCTATTAATAATATATATAACCGAAAAACCTCGCCGACGGGCAAGATGACAAAATGATATAATATACACAACGACTGAAATTTGTATTTAAATAGAATGGGAATTTCTAAGGTTTGTTCAACTCATAGTTTGACTCGAAGCGGCGACTATTTATTTGGAACTTGGTAATATGTTAGTACAAGTGTTATGTTATGTATGTACATAATCGCATCATATCAATTGTTGAATCCTTTTGTTGTTGAAAAAGTGTCACAAAAATGTTGCTATGTTTTTGTTTGGTAATTAGCGGTTATAATAAATATTGTTTCTCAGTTAGTGGTACACAACATAGTTGTGAAATAATTGATACCCCATGTTAAATAGCATCAGCATCCAAGTAGTCTCTGAGTGCCGAAGGGTTGCGTTCCCTCTTTATCAATTGTATATTCGTTCGAATATTTTCTAGTCCGAATTGAACTGCTCTCTCCGTACCAGGAAATAAGTTGGCTTTGAAATATTCTGTGACATCCACGAAAAATGATTCTTCGGCAAAACCTTCAATGATGACTGTGATGAGCTTCGACGCCATAAACGATCCCTGAAACGATATCACAATGCACATAATAATTCCGTAGGTTATTTAATGGTGAGATCACTACGTGATTGTGCTGCATAGTTTTCATAGGTTATTTTTCTCAGTTATTAGATGCATTTGTAAGAATGCTTACGTAACGATTTTTAAACACAGCAATATTCTCTTTAAAGAAATTCCAACTTAATGCTCGTCCATCCTTATGCCTTGATAGTGAAGAAATGATGTCAATTGAGCCTGGCTTACAAACATCTTCACTAATTGAAAAGTCTAATATTTGTTTTATCAAGCCCGGCTCTTTAACTGCAGAAAATGCTTTGGCGATTCGCTTCTTGTCCTGCACAGAATCTGACTCCTTGTAAATCTGGGATGAAGATTAGTGTTTAACTCACGATGCTAATTAGTACGCAATTTAAGGTAAGGTCGAGTATATTCGTCTGTAAAGCAATACCCGAATAAATGACTTAACCACGTCCTCTTCGTCCCTCTCCATTGCACAGTAATACAGGACGGACCTTAGTTCGGGAGGAATTTCTTCTTCTGAACTGGTGATGTGATCACTCATGGCTTTACATCGAGATATTACTTCTCGATGCTTAAACTTTATCATCATTAAGAAGACCAATGGTCGCAACAGTTTAGTGTGATGATCTACGATATTTGACATACAAAATATTTGAATTTGCTTCTATAATTCTAAGCTACAGTTCTGTCCTCTGGAAATATGTTGCTTACGTTCATTAGGTAAGTATTTGTAACCGACTCGCTCAAGAATACGACTAAAGACATATCTTCCAAAATGCTCAAATGATTCCTCCAAATTCATGTAGGCCAATATTCTAAGCAATTTGTCGAAAATGTAGCTCACGGTGCGCCATACATTGTAATCATCATCTTCTAAGAAAGCTTCGGTGAGTGTAAGCACCTGCGTATATGCGACGAGTTGATGATATCAATTTAAAGTTCATTTGTCTGTAAAGTTTTAAATACTGCATTACCTCAATAATGGTACCTTGCACCCCGGACATTAGGAATGCAAATTTATCATCCAGAATATTCAATCTGTCTACAGCTTCAAGTGTCTTGTTTTGACTTCTTATGGCATGAACCAACGTCGTAAACATGTCGGATGAATATCGAGTACGGTAAAACCCAATAACTCGTGGGTTAAACTAAAATTTACCGAGAAAAAAATTTGTCCGCATATTCATACTGATAAATCCCAAAATTACATGCACATGAATTCCACATACCTTTATCCAATCATTTTTTCCTATGTCGGAAATGACAATGGTTTGTGATTTTGTATCCATCAACGTGTGAAAGATAATTGCTCCAGGGTCACGCTCAGCCGTCACAGTTATTGGAATTACCCATGTACCTTCCGCCCGTATGTCTCGTGAACCAGTCTGATCGAAAGTAAATTTTTCTTGGGTTATCTTTATGAATCGATTTCTTCCGTCTTGCTTTCCGGTAACTCTTATCATTGGGTATCTGGAATTAATGGGATTACAGGAAGTAGGGCTATCGCATAGATATTTTTAACCTTGAAACAAGTACCCTCTTTGATTCATCCAAGAGTTCATAAGGGTTGATATTGGCTTATTTGATGCTTCCTCAAAACATTTCCACAAATCTCCTGTCGTTGCATTCTTGAACTTGTACTTGATGATGTACTTTGATAATCCTAGCCGGAAATGATCTTCTCCTACGTATAAATAAAGTTACGTACAATGTCTAACAGGTCAGAGAATATTTGAGAAAGTATCTTCTTTAGTGATACCCACCTATAAAGTTGTATAGCATGCGGAACAAGGCGGCCCCCTTTTTATAGCATATTTCGTCATACTGTTCCTCACATTCCAAGGAGCTGTGCACCGGAGTGTCGAGAGGATACGTGGATTTCAATGAATCCTCATGCATTGCTCGAAAAATTTCGGTTACAAAGTGCGTTGATGTCTCATATTCGGATTTTACCTTGGATAATAAAATATCGTTTCATTTCGTATTTTTTTTAATTTTACGGAAAAAAGACGAACCTCCTCCATGCAAATGTACGAAATGAACATGGCTACACCAGACTTAACCCATAGTTGATTCCACCACTCCGGTGTTACCTAAACGAAATTATCAGATTAAAAGCATTCACATCTATTGAATGAGCTAAAAAATTTAATTCATTATGTAGTCATTTCGTTAGTCGGTATTTAGTAGGAACGATGTATACTAAATTTCCAATCCATTGTCTGACAATTTCTTCACAAATCACAAGCGCAACATGCTGTTTCTCTCCACAAGAAGCCTTAGACTCATCATCCAGCAACAAATTATTATCTCTACTGAGAATTAACCCCCAACTTCCTGCAGAACCTAAAACACCGGTTCCACAGTTAGAAACTTCAGGTAATTTATGTGTGTATAACGCATTAAAAGTGTATGTGCGTATATAAAAGTATTACTCAAAGCGAAGTCAGAAATGACCATGAAGTCCAATTTTGGCAGAGGAAATTGGCACGAGAAATACGACGCCAGAAAAGTGACGGCTTCAGCAGCAACCCCAAGTGCAAACGTCCCTTGAAGCTTTTTCCCTCGAGGAGTGTACACTCGTAGCGCGATATCGTCATCCCGTGACCTTGCTTCAACGAAATCAAAGTTCCCAACCACGAAGCCCACCGCAAAAGTGGAAATTGGTGGGGTTCGTTTGAATTCGACGATTTCTAGCAAAGTAGTCTTCTTGTGATTGTATCGAGCTTTGATGGGCTATAAAAAATTATATCAATGACATATCGATCTCTGTCAGTAATGTGAACATGATTTTTTCATGAAATGTGCATATGTGTGCATATACCATATTGCCTACAACAGTTTTTCCTTTCGGAATAATCAGACAAACATCAAACTCAGCCTTTATTGCAGGGTCATCATAACACGGAAGGCATCTGGAAAGATAAGACGTTGATTAAGTAATATAGGATTAATTTAATACCAGAGTCGCAATGCAGTGCAGATGTGTGTTTGACCTTCTTGCATCCATTGGCTCAAACTGGGCAATAAAATGATAAGCATTGTCATTGGGGTTTGGTTTTGAGCGATAGAAACCCATCATTTTCTTATCAGTAATCGATCCTTTAAAATTGAGTCGCAGTTGTCCCTTCTGTGGGACCAGGAACGGGTCAAATTTAAGTTCAAACTGGCCTTTGTCTAATGGCGTCATTTCAATCGGCTCTTGTCTGTTTTGAGTGACATCCTCTTCCCAAATCACTTTGTTCATTACAAGATCAACTGAATTTATCATTAAATGTTTGGAGTTTTCCAAAACCTGTAAAGTAATCAGTGTAAAACTTACAAGAGGTATAAATACGTTATAAAAGTAGTGTATGGCTTCATCATGATTACTGTGACATCAATGGCAACAGACGCTTCAAATGTTAGCTTCTCCAGGTTGGGTTTAAAGCAAACAGTGTAATGCGTTGGTGATGCATTTTTTGGCAGCCGGGAATTGGTTTTGTCATCCTTCTTTGTTCCCAATTCTTTTTTACGTTTTGCGAATAAGTTGAACATTTTGAGGCAAGTTTTTTCGTCAGAATATTAGCAATATTATCAAATTAAGAGAATTGAATATTGACACCATAAAATGCTCTACCTGAAGGTTAGCAGGGATAAGTATTCCACGTTGCCTATGATACTAATCATGGCAACAATATTTCTGTAAATAAAAACCACACCTACTAATAATTAGTAGGTGTGCTAATTGTATTAGTAGGTGTACTAATTGCAAGTAATTAATTATTAATTACTTGCAATTAGTAATTCCTCGGTGGAGTTGCTGAAACTAAGTAGTAGATCCTCATAAAATTGTTCATCAATTTTTCATATTGTGTGTCAGTTACTAATAATGAATTTGAATATGCATAGAGGCGGATTCATAATTTACGCAATGTATTTCAAAATGTGTTTTAATGTTTGTGGCAGACATCTGCTGATCTGCTGTTAATCCTCTTATATTTATTGTTCTTACAAAGATTTTAAACACCTCCATCTACTTCATGAATCCGTCGTTGTTATTGTCGCATCGGATTATGCAAATCACGAATAATAAAGTCACTCCAACTTCCAATGTGGACAGCTAAAGTTTGTCCAGTTGTATTAGTTGTATTCCGCCTCTTGAATAATCAAAATCAGACAGTGGAGCGATAATGCCGAAAGAACACTTTGGAAATTATTTGTGGCTCGTTCCGTTTTCCTGCCTCCTTTTAAGACTGTTGGTACAGTCTACTCCCACCGTCACAGTGTCCACGTTCAACAGCACATGTGACAATAAGCATAATGTTTGCAACCAAAGTGGGTTTCTAATGTGCATTTCTGGATTTTGTGAATGCGAAAGTCCTTCCAATCAACGTTTCGACCCTGACTTGGGAGTTTGTCTGAGCATTGTGGGAGGACAATGCTCCCTGACCCAGCATCCTCCTCCGGTGCGAAGATGCATTACAAACGCTCACTGCGTTCTGGTAACCAGCTCGAGGTACAATTACACAGAGTGTCAATGTCAACCTGGATTCATCGAGAATTCGGAAGGAAATTGCGTTCCTGGAATTGGGAAACCGTGCAACTATGGCCCCGACGAGTGTAATCCTTCGGCGATGGTCGTCTGCAAGAATGGGCGGTGCAATTGTCTGGACGAACTTCAGGTTTATGACCTTGACATGAGGCGTTGTGTTAGTCCAGCCGGAACGCATTGCAAGTACGACGGTGTTCAATTAGGCTGTGTCAAGAATTCGATATGTTACCCATTTTATTTTTGGGTGCCCCCAAGATGCATTTGCTCTCCTCGGTACGTACAGACAAAAAATCGAACATGTATCTCAGAGTTGGAAGCTCAGGCCCTAAAATTCGCCACTGGCAAGAATGACGAAATTTCAGAGTGAAATAATATCGACTTCTGTTTGGCTACAAATTTATTCGTACAAATGAATTAGTTACAAGTACTTTTGCATATATAGAAAATAGTTTTTAGACTCTTAAACGATGCATATTATAACGTGCTAATTACCTAAACACGAAGAAATCTTATTGTTATTTTACTACAAAAAACTATTTAAAACTATGTAATTTACAAGGTTAAAGTATTTATCAGTCTAAAAGTTATACACACAACAACAAAATTGATACTTGATACGTGATAGCACGTCTTTTTTTATTATTATTTTCCAACCATGTGTAATCAAATGCTATATACTTTTAGCATTAACAATTGTTTAAGTCAAATTAAAAATTATTGATAAATCTAATCAGAAAATTTTGTTATGAAAATGTTCATAGTTTATAGTTATATTTCAAAAGAAATTAAATTATTGATATAGAATAAACAAATATTGTACACTAAAGCAATTGTCACCTTAACTTTAGTTACAGTAAAAATTCATATTCTTCTATACCATACAAAGAATTTTTTGAGTGCACGAACAACAATTTCTGCACATACATTACTGCAAAGACATATGAAAAATTACTTCGCTCGTTTTTCTGATCATGCCTTTAAGCAACATATTCGGGTTTGATCTTTGTCTTCCTCGGGGAACCCAACACCATCGCAACTTGTTGCAGCGATGCTTTGAAATCCTTCATTGCAAATGCATTGTTTGTTATTGCCCTCACTCATTAGGACACACGATGCATCATCAACGCATCTTAGTTCAGTCGAGGAGTCGCACTCGTGGCCGTCAGAGACTTTGCAAACAGCTTCCTTGATGTCGTAAACCATCCAGGGAAATCTGCACTCGCAACGCCCCGACGCTCCGCAAGTGAGGCCTGTCGCGTCATTGCAGTGAATTCCAAAGGACCCCACGCAAACGTCGTCAAGATTCTGGGAACCGCACAACACAATCAAACTTGATATTGCAAATATTGGGAAAAGTAAGTAGGATATAAATTTCCCCATGTTACGATAATCTAGCGATTCAGAAACTTTGTCCGCCCGACTACTTCAGTTGAGACTAGGACACTTGTAAGAGATATATCACAAAGACTTATTAATGTAACTGCTCTGTCGCTGTAAAAAATACATGCATGTCAACTAATAATAATAATATGCAAGTCCTGGTCATGAATAATTCTTCTGCAGGTTAAGAAATTCGAAAGTCTAAACTACTAAATGCTAATGTACTAGAAGACATTAAGTTTCAAGTACAAATACTTAATATTAAGTAACGTGTACTTCTGTCATCTGCATTAAATATTCCCTTCAAGAACATATCTATCCATTACGTTAAGTAAAGTTGCAAATTTTGACATCATTCAATTCATTTACCTTGAGACTTAGGGCCACTTGTTACTTCAATTTAGAGATTTGCAAATTATAACAGCCCAGAAGCTTTTTGAACAACTTATTGGAAATTTAAAGCAAATCTGTAAACTATGTATGAAACCATAAAAAATTTTCACGACGGGCAATTTCAACTTTTTTACACTCATCGCCAAAACAAAATTATAATTGAAAAATGACAAAAGTAATTAACTCCAAGATGGATTTTACTGACTTTGAAATTTTGAAAAGCCAATATGTCTTTGAGTCAAACTTTTCCAATTTTGGGCATTGCGAAATAAGTATGTAATGTTTTCATGATGACTGAGAAAATAACATTTGCATGCATGCAAATTCCATGCAATCTATAAAAAACAAGTGTCTAACCTACTTTTTTGATTTCGCATGCATGAGCAGTTACTGCTTGTGCTGAAAGTCTTGTCCGTGTTGTGGGGTTTTGCATGCAGCCCATATTTTTAGCACATTAAATGAATAGCCGTTTTCACATTGGGCGAATAATAGAATCTATGTAGCACCTGAGCATGCAGTTAAGTGCTTTATCTGCTCCAGAACGAGAGGCTACTATGCATAAAAGCGCCTACTGCACTTTGAGAATGATTGAGCTTAACACTACTGTCCTGTTGGTTCCATCGGAAATTAATGACACTTACGTATTTAGTAAATGGATGTGCATTGCTGATTTCCACATGTGCTGTGTCAAAAAGTAATGCCATATACGATGCCACAGAGAGGAGTAACTCAACAAATGAGATTGAGTTTGTTTAATACAAGTACGCTGATCCTGTTTGGCTTCTCAGATTACTATGTTTGTTCGCTTGGAGATAATTCCAAACATAATATGCCATAGCCTTACAAGCGTAAAAACTTCTCAACTACTAGTAGAAAAGTGATAACTTCCAGTTCAGCAGTGTTCATCAAAAATTAAGCCAAATCGATTGTTTAACTCGACGCTTAAAACGTCCAAAAAACAAAAACGTATTGAATTTTAAATCAAAGTTCAGAGAATTTGACAACATTCATTAATTCATCATATCGACATTACAATACATCTATTTATACATATATAAGTAGTTATTCAGTTTTGTCTGTGGAGTGAGATTGAAGAGTTGAACAGTGTATAGAATGGATATGTGGATTAAAGCCATAACAAGAATGAGTGACGTGACAAGTGTCTATTTGTTTGATTTTTGAGGAGTGGAATAGAATGTGGTGGAAGACGGATGTTGATGATATTTTAAGTTGCACCTCCTTTGGACCACTGACTTGGACGCTCCATTGAATTGCGACGTCTCTAAATTTTCCTGAGAGGACAGGATATGATCATTGATTTGTGCATCGCAACAATTTTATGGAGGCAACCCCACCATTTAAAATCAATGGCGTAAAGTATTTTTATTAAAACAATAATGTATCCCATTAGACGTAAGCACAAGGCATTATGACTGCAAGTAATATGGGGTTATGAATATATCTGCAGCAAGAAAAATTAATGAAGTCATTGTACATACATTAACAAGCCATGTTCAACTTAGATATTTTTTAAACTCACACAATTTGATAGACCAACTCTTCACATGAAACATTTGGTACGACACTTGGGCCAAAAATGCGCGTAAAATTCAGCGACATTGTGGGCGCTACAAGTTCGCGATACCAATGTTATTGCGGACTGGCATACTTTGAGCTGGAACGGCGAAGTGAGAGTGAGTACTTAATAATGAAACCAGCGTGTAGCGCCTATGTATAAGTCTCTGAATTTTGCGCATTCGCCCAAGTGTCGTACCAATTGCGCATTGTTGTCTGTGAAGAGATGATCTGTCAAGTTTGATTGACAGTGGTGTGGGTTTCAAAAAGATCTGAATTGATCATGGTTTGCTCTCTCATTGTAACACCTAAGCCAGCCACTCTAAATTCGTACAAAAACCTTATTCAATATGGAATGGATAAATCAAACTTGATGTAAAGCTAAAATGTAGAGTATTATTTAATAACAATTAAAAAGGTCAGCTTAGCCGTGCAGAGTGAAATGAGGTATCAATTATAGGATCTGTTCTCGATTCATTATGATTGGAAGAATTGTTATGTTTAAATGAAATGTCAAATTGTAAGTAAGGGGCTGAATAATGTCTTCACTCGTTTTGCTTGCGTAGATGTAAGCCGTAAGCTGATGCTCTCACTACATGTTTATGATAGTTGGAGCTGTAATGAGAATGGAAAGCAATAATTATCATTCAAGTATCAAGTTGTGTAGTGAAAGACAATAATAATGTTCTCGCTCGATCCTTTCATATCAGTAATATAGCTCTTTCCTTAATTATTACAGCTCAACTTGGCCGTAGTAATCCAAAGATAGTCAAAGAAGAGTACAGATCGACTCATACATATGCCTGCAAAGGCTGGAATTATTAAATGTTCACTACATTATTCAGTGCCACGGATCACTGAACGAAAAAATCCACTACATGATCTTCATCGTGACAAAAGTTTTTCCTGCAGAAATTTGTCCTACTACATACGTAAGTATTAACGACGTGTTCTAACTTACTGAGTGTGCATAATTATTATTTACACGATTACGAATCATGCTCATGATTGTTATGAATTCAAAATTATATTAATATTATTTAGGAAACACCTGTTCACCTGTGCGAAAAATGGCTCATGGATTCTCACCCTCGCTTCATCACTTGCGTAATCTTGGAATGTTTCTTGTGACCATTTGTCTTCTTGTACAGGGAGGTGCTAGCAATAAATATGGTGCAAAATGCAGAAAAAATTTGGAATGTGTGGAAACGAATTTTTGCGACGAAGGGTTATGCAAGTGTCAATCGTTCAAGAATAAACTGAGCTTAATCTTCAATGATCAGACGCGTACTTGTGAGAGTTCCGTCGGTTCAATCTGCACGCTCAGCGATGGTCCCAAGGGAAGAAGTTGGAAGTGCGTCAAAGATGCACAATGTAAAGGGTCCGCTAACCCTAACCTACCTGATACGTTGGGGGTTTGTGTTTGCAATTCTGGATTTCTGGAGAAATATGGACTTTGTGTAAAAGAAGTCACCCTTGAAGAGACTTATCAAGAAGTTAGGGCGCGTCAAAGTTCAAAAGGTGCTGTAGCTCCCTGGTCCTCCTCTTCCATCAAGTTACTCAAATCCAACCCTATTGTTATCTTGGTCACTATACTACTGTTCGTATAAGGGTTCCTTATTCGTTAGAAATCTGCATGAGCCTAATTTGTTTCTATAATCTGTTTCATCATTTCCAATTTCAAGTACTTTTCTTCTGATTGATTATATTTGCCAAGTGCATGACCAAGAGATTCTTATGTCATATGTACATAAGTCAAGTATGGTATGCAAAGACTTGTACTGTCAACTGTACATATGTGATTTCGCATTACTTTTACATATAAGTAAATTACTATTTTAACCTAAATACATTTTTAGTGGGAGTTAAGGGTACAATTAATGTATGCGCATATGTCTACGTATAAGCCGATTACGATTTAACCCGCAGTGTTTCGACACGAAATTGCACGAAATGATGTAAAATTGATTCTTATAAGCCTTTTAAATTAAATATAGGCATTTTATAATTAAATTTTAATCACGGCCTCGATTACTAAGTTTCGGAAAATGAATATTTTGCTTCTTGTTAAATCACGTGACTTTCTCTTGTTTCTTCTTCTGTACATATTTTTTATTTTTTGAATACCTATTTAAATATTTTAAAAATCGACATCATCGTCCCTAAATTTATGAATTTCGTGCATTTATAATGGAACACTGGACTAAATAATGTGATATTGTAAAAGTTTTTCCAATCAATGTATGTAAATATTACTTTAATCAGCACCTATTTTGTCACCCCTTATGTTTTAACCAAAGTGTATACATATTACTTAACTCGATATACTTACGACTATGTAGGTTTGGCAAAGTAGGACAAAGCAAATATTTAGTTTATAAAAAATGTAAGACAAGTTCATAAACGTAACGACTCCTCCATTTGCTCCATTCCATAAATAAGCAACTTCATTACTTTATCCTACCGTTTACTGTCTGAACCACATGTGCGTTCTCTGGTTTGTTCACGGATTCCCTAACGAGTATTTGGTTCAAAAAGACTTCTGGATTCATGTTTTAAAGATAATATTTGTTTGTGTATGCAGCTCTCATATTATAGTGGTCTATGTACGTACGTATATTCAGCATGTTAAAATGAGTCGAAATAAACTCCCGATTTTTATACTCTGTTTCATGCACAAGTTCCTTCGGACCATTAAGAAACTGTTTCCTTTCAACCTCACCCGAACGTGCAAAAAAACTTGAAGATGCCATGAAACTTCACTTGATGATGCCAACACGTGACGTGATGTATAGTGATATGCTACAAGAACGGTGTCTTAAGGAGCTTAGTTTTGCTATTCATAGTTTGCATTCTTCCTCTCGTAAATATATTTAAATGTTCATGTTTCTCACGTCGGCTCATGTTTGCTCAGTTACGATTTCCCCTATGGAGCTAACGAGGATGTACATTATGTCATTAAGGAGGAGACCCGGAGACCCGAATTTCTAGGAATTTTATCTCAACAACAAAACTCTCACCGCTGCTCATCAATGTTGTGTTGTATGGACATGTGCATTTACCAGTTTACCACTACCAAGAGATTACTCGATCCTTTATTACTTTATGGTGGGTGCGTGTGTATGTATGCATGCATGAATGTATGAAACCCGAGAAAGCCCCAAAGTCGAAAGGTGCTACAAAGTTTTTTCTTTTCTGTTTTCGAGTCAGAGGTCTGACTCTCGTTGGTTGTGCACAAGGTGAAATAAGAAGGCGTTGCTGGTGCTAAAGTGATTTTCTGAAGGAAATTAATAGTCGATATTGATCAATCACAAATTCAATCATATATAAATCTGGGTTAATAAACCGAATCGTCATATCACCGAGGTCGCACATCCATATTTCCATTCACCTAACATTTGCTTGGCATTCGTCGGTGTGACATGAAATAAATCTCATTTGTTGCTCACTATTACTCAAATGTCACATCACAAACTCCTGCGGTGACTAAAATACAACTCCTCATGCATTTCTTTATCGGCGCCATATCCTCCTTATTATCAAGACGCAAACGAAATATGAAAACAATATAAACTGAACTCGACCAGTAAATGAGCTCCAGTTTCTGGTGTGAAGTGACTCAGGAAATTGCCGTTATAGGATATCATCAACTTTAGAACTGAGTCAGCATCATGATGTCTCGGCCATTTATTCATTCGTTTACTTAGTTTCCGAAAAGTTTTTTTTTATAGACGGTCACTAAACTGAGCGAAACTATTTCACTTTCTTCTCTATCACATCAATCGTTACGAATTATTACGCCTCTGCCTCCGTGTATGTACAATAAACAAGGAATGACGATTACTAAGATCGAAATACTAGCACTATAATAAATACTAAAATAAGAAACACTAGTTGAAATTAAATACTGCTGTCTTCTGTAATTTTTATGCAAGAGTTGGTTACGTGTAACGCAATTTGCAATTGAGGTTTTGTGGCTACAGGCAGTTTTTTTCACTTTATTTGCCATTCGCAACTTACTCACTCACGATAATTGTGTCATTTGACGTTTATCGATTGGACATCCAATGCGTACGTTCAGCATTATTAAGGTAACGCAGGATAATAATTGTGTGTCGACACTTGTCCCTAGTTTATCTCATGTTATGTTATCGTATTGCGTCTTCTAAAGTGGAATTTTCTGCCACGTTATGATTCCCCGTTTTTAGTAACCCACTCAATTTTCTTTTTAAACGAAATCGTACTTCCTGTGGAACCCATTTCAGATTCTGACCATGGGGTTTGCATGGTTCTTAAGCGGTTTGGTCGTCGTCAGCTCCATGTCTGTTGTTGCGACGAGTTACACTAGTCCTTCCAAATACACTAGTCCGGTGTCACCTCTCAATGCAACGTGTCACAGGGCAACGGACTGCACGAGCGATCGTTTTCCAACTTTTCTCAATGTAAGTACTGACATAATTGTTATTATATCAATAAAATTTAAATTCTTTGTGTAATTTCAGTGTGTAAAGGGTCGTTGTTCCTGTGACAGTCACACGTTTTACGATGAATACGAATCTATTTGCATGATTCGCCATAGAAGTCAGTGCTTAATCAAACGAAGTCCCTCACAGGTGGTTCAACCATGTGTGAGATTCGCCCAGTGTGCGTATCCATTGGATTTGAATGGTAATGTGAACATCAATCAGTGCTATAATCTAGCCAATGTGTTTCGAATTATTGAGACGTGGTAGCTGGATCTTAGTTTATGCAAACGTTCTGTCCATCTGTCCATCAGTCCTCAAAGGTCTTTAAAAGGAAAGAAATATAAATGGCACTATGCAGACCCCAAGTTTGGGGTGAGGCCAATAGCCAAATATTTTATGTAGTGAGATCAGCTACAAACCCTTTACTCCGTGGGATCCGTTACGACCTTTTGTAGCATGGCTGTTCGTTTTGGATACAAACTAGGCGTTTCGGTTTAAATCGACCTCTGAGTTAAATGCCGATGATTTTTTCGGACATTTAGCCATGTTTAGGCGTCATGTTACTAAAATCCATACAATATATAAAATCGTGAAATAATTTATTACATTTAACAGGTAACGAGTTGCGGTCAGCAGTTCATGGGTCGTGTCAATGTTTGATCAACAAAACGCCAAACTCGGATGGAACATGCAGCAAGTCCTCGACAATTGACAGTAGCCCTGTAATGACAATGGTGTTCATGACCTACATTATTTTCACAGCATCAGGAGTTCAATTTAATAGCTGATTGTGTAGTGTTTATCCAAATTACCCCTCAATCATTTATCGTTACGCTATTTTCATAATTGTGAATTTCACCTGTTGCATGATTGGGTAATGAAGAAAGTATTATTGTATATGTTCGTATTTTCTATATTCCAGGGCTAGCAGCTCATAATAAAATATTTTCAATGTATGTGAGCAATATAATTGTAACTCAAAATAAAGTTCAACATGTTTACATTTGTGTTACACCACTCGTCGACATGATGCAGTCATTTTTTAACGTGTATTACTATGAACTCGCCTTACTCATACATATTTCAAAGAGAAATCTGTCCATCAAGTGGATCTTGTATACTGTCAAACCATCTCCAAATTCCTTCCCTCCGAAGTCCTAAAGAAGAACAATAGTTGGAGATGTTGAAAAATCGATAATAGTGAGTTCAACACAGTATTATTGTTTTGAACGCCATCAGCCTCCCAGCTACAACTTTACGAAACAATGATACAAAGAAAAGTACAAGAGAGAAAGACCCAGTGATTTTGCTGTCTGCTTTTTTCATGGCAGCATGCTTTTGCTTTACTAGTTACTGTTGCTTCCTCCGAAATTCAACAATTGGATCATCATAATGGGCGTAGTACTCCAAAACTACTTTACTGGATCCGATTGGTATTAAGAAATGAAATATACATATGAAATTTTATCCCTTATATTATATGAAATTGTGTCCTAGTTAATATATGTAGGGAAACTGCTGATATTTATTATTGCTTACTACTTTGAACTAGAGCAGCTAAATCGAATAACACTCTCTCGTCATCATTTCCTTTCCATTTTGGAAGAATCAGAGGGTTTTCGATGTTTAGCTACAACCTTGTCGCTGTAGTTCACAATAATTACCTTTACAAATGTGACTACTGCAACAGAATAAAATGATGATAAAATGGAACATAATAATATGTTTATGTTTGCTCTTAAATACTTTGTTAAGGGCTTTAAGATGAGGCCGTTTTCATATTTTGTCGAATCCTCAAATAGTCGATAGTGAAAATATTCTTGTTGGTCCAACTATTATTTGTATATGGAAAACAACCAGGTTCGTGTTACAGACTACTACCACAAACGCATAGTCAGCAACTTGATTTGGAGGGTCTTATGGGACGCTTCCCTCAGCGTGGGTTTTGATGTGCGACCCGAGGGACGTTTTGGAAGTGAAAGTCCCATTGCATAATGTGCATTTGTAAACTTTCTCCCTATAATGTGTTCTACCAATAAATTGTAATTAGTCGTGTTGTAGTGATGCTGCGTACTGAGGTGTTAGTTATATATGTAAACGAAAATAAGCAGACATCTTTCTATTTACCTGACAAAATTCTAGCACGTATGTATACCCAAACGATTGGCACAACTATTGCAACTCGTTATGGATTTTCTCCCGTGGGGGTGGGAAGAACCCTAAAATATGAGGAACAAATGTAGCCACCACATTAACATCGAAATTTAGGAATTTGAACTCCTCAAACGCAACACAGGACAAATTTCATCTTCTTGCTTGACCCTTTGGAGGTATTGCCGAAGGCGAAGATTAAATTATAAAGTTAAACCTATTGAACATGCATGCCGCGATATATTTTGTCCTACATATTAGTATTTAAATAATGCTTAAATCAAATAATACGGCAAATTGCATACATACATAAATAGTAAAAGTGAACCAGGTAAGCATCTTCCAACATCAACCAAAAAGACTTTGCACCAATTTATATGGATCTTGACTCGACAGTCCAAAAGTTTAATTTTATTTAGTCAAAGGTCCGACATTTACATACTCGCCACTGCAATCAATTTTATGCATTCATTTCATCAACACATCTGCGGTGGACACTACTGCATCCCAGATGAAATAATGTTTCATTCAAAGTTCGTGATAATGTGACGGGCTATGGATGGATGCATAAAATTGCTTGCAATGAGCCAGTAATCCTGATGGACCTTTGAGTAAATGAAATTAATCTTTTGGACTGTCCAGTCAAGGTCTGCATCACTTGGTGCAAAGTCTTTTTGATTAATACTGGAATGGTGGGATGCATACCTGTTTACATTTACTTTAACTATGAAGGGACGATATAAATATAAATATGCGACAGGTTCAAAAGATGTCAATACCTAAAAAAAAGGAGGGCGAGCATTGGAACTTTGGCCCAACATACCAGAGAATTCTCTGACTAGCCTGACCTACCCCAACCCACATTCAGGATTAGTTGAAACTTTCACCCAGAGGAAGAAAAGTGATTTTCACTCCGTTCCGAACAGATACGAGCCCAGCATTTTTATTTTACAGCGTATAAAATGATGTCGGCATTTTTAGTGTTCCGGTTGCTGTAATACCTTTATCATAAAGGCTTTATGCCTCGTGAGCATAATAATTTGCACGAACGTGCAGAATAAAATGACGCATGCATGGATAAATAGTCAGAGGTGGTAGGAAAGATGGCATTATTATTCATTCGGGTATGACTATGCGGTCTGTCTGGCCGGTTCTAAATTCTAAACAATTCTTCCATCAAATTTACATCATTTGCATCCTGCTACACATTAAAGCTGGGATCTCGTGCATTGGGCGGAGAGCTCGTTGAATTAATTTTTGTAGAAGTACGGGGATGAGGCCAAAGTACAAAGCGAAGTGATCAAAGTCCAACTCTGGATCTGCAAAAACCTTGAATGGAATTACCACGGGAATGTACACAACTTTTCAAACCGTTCACACGCACGCATGGTAAAATTGCGATAATCTGTCCACTCATCAAATTATCAGCACTACCTACAGACATAATAATAGTCTGCGAATATAATCAACTTTATCCTGGATCTTGCAATAATCATGTGTTGGTATCCATTGCACAACTCAGGTTTTGTCAACGTATTAGAAATTATTAAAATGAATTTATTGAAACATTTTTACTTTAAAAAATGCATTGAGTTCAGATTTAGATTATCGTATCGGTTAAATGGAATGCAGATGCAATCATTTGAAAATTACCAAAATCCATGAATCCAAAAATGCATGAATAAATGTACACGCGCTCTATACAATTTCCTTAATTTAATTTTGATTGGAAATGGAACTCGCATTAAAAACGTTTATACAATACATAATATCTAATAGCAAAGAAACGACGCAATAAAAGTGCAACGAATTGAACATTAATAAAAGTCTTATTATCGGTAATGTCGTAATGGGTATACATGTTATACGATTGGAAGGTAAAGAAGGAGTGATGCACTATGGGACCAAGCGGTCAAAATTTGACCAAGCCTTATGGAAACTAAAAATGAAACTGGTGCTAAAAAAGTGAGACGGAATTTTTTAAAGGGTTTCTGGCTAGTAAAATAGCTCAAAAATCTAGATAACAATGCCAAAATATCTGGCTGCCCGATTTTGGCCTGGCCACGAAATTAAAGGTCAAATTTTCTTAGTTTAAAGTAAATTTGAATCCTTGACCTTTAATATCTTGCGGGGCAAAATCGGACAGCCAGAAATATAATCCAGAAGTTTCCATAAGGCCTGGCCAAATTTTTACCGTTTGGTCCCATAGTGCGATGGTTTTGCATTATTTGTTTTTTATTCATTCTCTGAGAAGCAGTAGAAAGAGAATTGTGCGAATAAAGTCCAAAGTCCAAAGTCTTCTCAATGCTATTATTGCAAGAACTATTGTCTGGGATCTGATGGGGTTGTTGTTTGGACCAAACCTGTTATACCTATCTGCATGCAATATTCTGCCAGCCCATAATGCAATACTACTACACGTATGGGTTTACTATGCATCGATGTATATGTATATCCTGATCATCAACAATGCGAATATAGACTTTGGCTCACTTCGCAATAAAGAGTGCACGTAATTGAGTATAGTATAATAGGTTATAATATTATGTGCATGATGGCACATTATTATTGTTATTTAATCGACAACTGCACCTTACTTAACAATTTTGGAGTTTGGACGTACATATTCTATCGTTGTTATTCTAAGCCATCAGGGGCACTTTAATTGATACGATCCTCGCGTGCATTTTACTATTACTACTTTCAAACAGATTTTTTGAGTCGTAATAAGAACACATGCATGTTGGTAGAGGTTAAAATTGAGAACTACCTCATTCAATTGTGATCAATAATAAAATGTTATTTGATACCTTCCTCATCTCGTGCGTCATTCATATTGAACAATAAGTGAATTCTCATTACATGAACTTTAAATGCCACGACCAATATTCTTCATGCAAACATAAACTTTTGAATATGATGTGGTATACATTACTGAAAACAAATGTTAGAATTAGTAAATACCAAGTAACATGTAACCAAATGTTTAACAAAGTCTCACAATTTTTAGTAAACAATTTCGACCTTGTTCCTCCTCCGCCAGTTGAGGTAAGGCCTACATAGTGCATTGTCATTACGTTCCGGCTGCCCTTAGAACCATAAAATGTCTCAAAATAGATCACAATTGCATGTCCATATAGTGCATAGCAGGGTTCCTCTGAACATTCACAATACGCAGAGTTTATGACCTGCATACATGTACCAAACCCCGGCGACGATATATTTTGTACAGAATAAAAGTCTCGTCTGGGTCTTGACTGGCAAAGTGCCAACTAAACAAACCCAAAGTCCAAAATTCTTTCACCGACCGATTGCATGTTGCTTTGCTTTCCAAAGTTTCCACGCGCATTCAAGAAGGACCGAGAAGGCTGGTGGGGTATCACACAATGTTGTAAACATAACACACCCTCAGTCCCGACCAATCGGATTCCTGCCGATCTCACAACGTTTCGAAAATTGAGGACGGCAGCAGTAGTGTTCCTATTTCAGTCCTAACACACGAGCTATTCCGTCATTCATCCAAACATTGCAATTCCGCGTACTACGTCTTTGCTAACATTCATTATTCAATCGATTGTATATATATACGAGAAGTTACAAGGCATTTCAAATTCGTCGAATTTAAACTTGATATGACCTTAATGGTTGGCAAACCCTTTACAATACTACAATTTTAGTGGGAATCATCATCACACAACTGGTTTTATTCATTTCGCCAAACAGCGTGTGCATGCATAGAGGCAAGAAAGAAGGCATGTATTAGCGAAAACTAACAACAAAAGTGTAAAAAAGTCTGTGCGGCCCATGTTTATGCGTGAAGTGATGCATTTGCATTGAAGGAGATTCATTCTGATTCTAGATACGGACAGAACCACCACAAACTATTCTCTCCCTCCTCTATCGACGCTGTTAACGTAACGTTCATGTGAATTGAGATTTGGAGAGCTTTGACTTTACTGGTGTTTACTCTACTACAAGCAAGCAAGCACTCGGTTGAATTGGGACATTTGCGGAATTGCTAGAGTAGAAAAGAGAGTTGTGCCACTACAACTGATGCTTTAGCTAGCCCAACTAACTAAATAAAATTAAACTGGTTTTCAGTGAAATAAAGTAAGCAAGAAGAGTACTGCTACTTATAGTTCATTCCTTTCCGACGGATTAATTAGGGGGACACTTGTTAGGCAGGGAACAAGGACAGAAGACCATTCAAAGTGATAGAAGGAAACGTATCAATCGTTGACGTGCCCACTCTGGTTAATAGTTCCTCCACAAATAGATAAATAATAGTAATTAACAAGTTCAGCTTGACAACCAAGCCAATCGAGTGATAAACCTGAACCTCGTCTTCTTCCTCACTCGTTCTTTCCCCCCAGTTGCCATTGTCAATTGTTGTTATCATCCATTGACGATACACTCGAATTCCAGTGCAACGAGAAATTAGGGGAACAGTTCCGGATAAGACTGGACAGGAAATTTCGTCTGTGTTTCATTATTTACCCAGTTATTTATTATTTATAACAACGGACAACTTGCCGTTGTTTGAATTCCAGTGTGAGGTAACTTTATCAGTGTGGCAATTGTGGCATCGGTTTTTTATTCCAATTGTCTGTGAAACTAGTTGATAAACTATTGCTACTCGAAGAATGTCTCTCATTTTTGCTACACGGCGTTCTCTGCTCAACGCCAGAGGTATATAGATTCAACTAATCTAATCTTATTGTCCTTCCTTTTACTAACTTTTGTTTGACCACGATTTAATCATCAATATATATTTCCAGGTATCGCTTACCAGCTGCAGTCCATTAACAAAAATGGAAAATTTGTTCCAATTGTGTCCGTCGCTTATTTCAGGTTGGTTGCTTTCCGTATCTTTTATTGCATTACCACATATGTGCATACAAACGCATAATGAGGGTATTCATTATTTCTTCGTATCCTTAGTATTCTTCGTATCGTAAAATAACTTACGACGCTTACGAGATTTTGTAAGCGTCGTAAGATTTTGTCATCGAAAATCGCGTTACTACGCTTACGATTTTTACGAAACCTGACCCCTTGTTTTATCTTCGTAAACTATTTTACGATACTACGGATACGAAGAAATAACGAATACCCTCAATAAAGCAAACTCAAACCAGAGTTGTATAATAAATAATAATCGGCAAATTGTTTACAATGTAAACTTTACATATGTATTAGTGTGGTTTCCTCCTCCTCCTCCGTATGGGTTGAGATGGGGATGGATGGAATAATTGAAACCATGTTGACCTAGATTTCTTCATGCCCATTCCATAAGTTTAAACTAAACTTATGCTACTACAGCACAATGTGATTGTGGTTATGACATGACTGTATGTTTACTTACTGTATTGATAACTTGGGTGATTATGATTATTAAATAGGACTGGACGTTTGTCTCAAAACCCACATGAAACACCCCCCATGCGACACAACACTTCCAGTCTGGATGTTCCCCAGCTGAACCTTGAGAATGCAGAATGCAGACCCCTTCCCAACACGGCCAGTGACATGCTGAATGATGAGGATCTCGTCATTAAACATCAACACCATCATGGTACGCAACAAAAACAATTAATAACAAACGCTGGATAAATCCACGTGCTGTCTCGCCTTTTTGTTGAGTTTCATGCATAAAAATTCACTGAATTGGCACAAAAAATACACGAGCACATTACAATATTCTCCTTTCTTTGGATTAGTTGCTCGTGAGATGAGAGTACAATCAAGTGTTTACTAACTTCAATGAACCACAGTGCTTGAGTTGAGACGCGATAATGATGCTGACAAAGTACATTTACGCTACAATTTGGTATAAATGTATATGAAGTGGTTATGAATGAGCAGACAGGATATTTGTGTGCCAATATTTTTCTGTGCTTGAGATTCATTCACATATTCTCCTTATATCAGACACAAACAAAGAAATAAAAGCATGATGATAAAACTGCGTGAAACATAAGTGAGACTATTTGTGTGCTGCAGTAAACGTCAACGTCTGGTTTCATGGATAAGCTCCTGTTGAGTTGCGAATGCATGCACTTTATTGTTTGTTCAACAATCCATAATTGCATGATATTTTGCATCGGCGATAACGCACTTGGATAAATGGTTAGAGTAGGGCTGGAAAAGTTCATATTCTTATATGTGTATGCATGTATGTATTTTGATGCCAATAATAATCTTCTACTTTGCAATTATGCAGGTCAACAACGTGATGAAGCATTTCGCAAGACCCTATTCACTACGCTGACCTACGCTACGAAAGTGTACGATACCATCACGCTTCCCTTTTATGCAGCGGTTCAGCAGCCCTGGAAAAAATTGGCCATGAATAATGCACCAAAGGTAAATAAATATATGTAGATATTTGCAATATAATTTACTAATTCACGGACCTTAACCTTCACGGCGGCATCTACTAATCACATTTAAAATTTAGGGCTGCTGGGGGTAGTCGTAGTTAGTAATACGCAGTTGAGACTAGTGGCTATTGAGACACTGCAGTATCTTCTAGACTATATAAGCAGTACATATATACTTATATCTGTGTACCTATCGATCCGGGAGCGCACTATAATATTATGCACGCCGGGTTAAACTGCGTACACTGTTGACCCTTTTGACTCTTGCAATCGATTTCCATTTTTATACCGCAGTTGTTGTGATAATGGTTTGCACTTTCACTTGTTCTGTGAAATGTTTTCAATATGAATGCAATTTAAGAATTAGCAACTCGTTTATGGGTTGTAGTTCGATCATGTTTTTCATACATTGCTCTGAATTTATTTCAACATTCCAAATAAATATTTGCAGGGCATTTGTGTGGATGAGGAACGATTTATCTATGAGACTCTGACACCGGTTGGATCATTCCACAAAGCTATAGATGAGCATGGGGTGGATACGATGGAAAAAGTTTTTGCCTTTGCAACCTCAAGAAATGGGAGCAAAAACTGTCTTGGGACGCGAGAAGTAATTAAGGAAATGGAAGTTTTGGATCAACATACGGGAAAAATAATGAAAAAGTTTGAGCTCGGAGAGTACAAGTGGTTGAGCTACAGTGATACTGACCTGATTGCCAAAAATTTGGCTTCTGGCTTTGCTTCCCTTGGAATCAATCCGAAAGGAAAAGTTGCAATTTTTGCAGAAACGCGTCAAGAGTGGCTACTGGCCAGCATGGGTGCCTTTAAGAGAAATCTAAAGATCGTCACTGTTTTCACGACCCTGAGTGACGCTGGGGTAGTCCATGCTTTGTCAGAAACGCAAGCACCATGCCTTATCACCACTGATGAGATGATGCCACGTATTGAAAACATTCTAAAACATGTTCCTTCCATCAAGACCATTATTTATATGGACAAAAACGGTCAACAGCCAGCAGAATTCCATGATAAAAATCTCCCTAACGATGTCACCGTCATCAGCTTTAGTCAACTTATTAAACAAGGAAGAGACAATCCCGTCCCAGGTGCACATTCATATATTTATGTATAACAACATGATTTTGTTTGATATCAGTTTTGAATATTTTGTTATTTGTAAATGATCCATCAGAGATCCCCCCACAGAAGGAGGACGAGGCAATTATAATGTATACGAGCGGTTCGACCGGTACCCCAAAGGTAGGGAACTATTCAACTAACTACTTGGAAGATTACATTTTCATTAGTTTTCAGCTTTCTCTGTAGTAGACTCATTGGTCTTGGGTTTTTCTCTCCTCAAACGTCGTAGGATTGTAATAATGTATATTTTAAATATTTTTAGGGCGTCATCTTAAGCCACTTCAATCTAGTAGAAGGAATGAAGGGCGTTTTGGACATTCTGGAAGTCCACGATTCAGCTAACCCTGATGACGCCTATATTGCTTATTTACCACTTGCGCATGTATTGGAGCTTATGAGTGAGGCGATTTGTTTTGTCCAAGGTAAGTACCGAATTCAGCGGTGTATTTTATTAATACATTATATATTTAAAGATAATTCCCTTTTTTAAATTCGCTCATGTAGGCATTCCAATCGGATACAGCAACCCACTCACGTTAACAGATAATTCATTATCAATCATGCCTGGTACAAAAGGGGACGCTACAATTCTGAGGTATACTTACAACGCAACTTTTTTTGTACGCGTAGGTAATTTAAATTTATATCAATCATTTCAGACCCACCATCTTTGCTGGTGTACCGGTAAGTATAGTCATCTCACTTAGGGTTAGGCATAACAAGAAAACCAATTCATAATTAATTTTTATACACTTCTCCCCAGCTTGTCATTGAACGTATCTGCAAAGGAATTAATACAAAACTTGCAGAAAAAAGTCAGCTTGCCCAATTACTTTTCCAATTTTTCTACAAGTATAAGAATGACTGGATGCAACGGGGTTACGATACACCTTTAGTTAACAAGGTGTTTTTCGACAAAATCCGCCAAGGTCCGTCAAAAAATAAAGAATACCCTCATTATATCAATTATATTATATTATATAATGTATGATTATATAATTGGTATATTGTATTGTAGTTATTGGTGGCCGAGTTCGATTTATGGCGATTGGTTCAGCACCACTAGGTAAGCATTTTTGGTATCCTATTAAAATTTTTATTTTAATATACACAAATTATCTATGTATATGAAGAATTGAAGACTTATGATTTAAACAGCACCAGAAACTCACGAGTTTATTCGAACCGTCCTGTGCTGTCCTGTAAGTCAAGGCTATGCCATGACTGAGAGCAGCAGTTGTGGAAATTTTGCAGTTCGTAAGTTAAGACTCTAAAAATTCTTAAATGGGATGCCAGTTTATTTAGTTTTCACAATATGTTACAGCTCACGATCTAACAGTCGGCCGAGTTGGTCCTCCAGTATATTGCAATCAAGTAAGGCTAGTGAACTGGGAGGAGGGTGGATACAGGACCACAGGTAGCTAAATAGTATTTTATTTTTAAGTCCGCAATAAGTAATACTTCTAACAAACAATTTAGATAAACCATTCCCAAGAGGCGAAATTTACTTGGGGGGAAATAACATTGCGATTGGTTACTACAAACTTAGAGAAAGTACTGATTTCTTTGAGGAGGATGGAAAACGATGGATTATGACTGGAGATATAGGCGAAGTTCATCCTGACGGCTCATTCAAAATCATCGGTATAACCTTGATACTTTTTTGCTCTCAAAGTGATTTACATGTGTCTACTAATATATACTTGTGATGCACAGATCGTAAGAAAGATCTAGTAAAGTTGTCAATGGGAGAATATGTGAGGTAAATTCAGTTCAACTTAAGTGAATAATGCATTCTCGAACTAAATTGGTATTTTTTTTGTCGTTGCAGCCTCGGAAGAATTGAAGCTGTTATCAAGTCAAGTGCCATTGTGGAGAACGCTTGTGTTTGCGCCGATTCAACACATTCGTACCCAGTAGCAATGGTAGTCCCAGCTCAAAATGCGGTAACTACTTTTTTTTTATATATTCTCATTGCAGGCATTTTTGGAATATTTACATTTTATACCCATACATGCAGGTATTGAAAATGGCCGCAGAAATGGACATCCCAACTGACAATTTCGGATCATTATGTAAAGATCCGAGAATAATTCAGGCCGTCCTGGAAGAAATCCAAGATACGGGACGCCAACTTAATCTTAATAAATTTGAAATCCCAAGAAAAATTCACCTTTGCGAGGAACCCTGGTTGGTTAGTTAAACATATAATATAAATAACTATATATAGTTAGCTGATTATTTTATGGGAGAAATACTAGAATTATTTTTAATCTATCAATTTGTTTATAGCCCACGAGTGGTTTGGTCACTGCGGCCTTCAAGGTAAAGATACGGATAACACGGCATGTTTTATGAAAACTGAGACACAATTCTTCCTACTTGAATTAATTTACTTTTGTTATAGATTCGAAGGAACAATGTATACAAGCATTACGAGCGAGAAATTGAACAGATGTATAATTCCAGCTAATATACGACTATAGCTATAAACTACATAAATTCGCCATCGAAAAGACTAAACTTTGCAACGCCAATCCACGGATAACCACTACTCATCCAACAACGACCAAATCTCACACAATGAGATTTTTTACAAATTCGTTTTTTTTAATCTCGTTAATGTCCTGCCACGAAGGAGATGTGTGCTATCGATAATCATCATTCGTAACTTATTTAGCAGCTGTAGAAAAAAAACCTCAAAGTTTTATTGATTGCTATACGGGTCTTACAGTGCTTTATGTGAACCTGGATAATTTTATGCTCACATCCTACAATTATAATTCCTAAAATTAGTTTTAAATTGACCCCATAATATGGTTAGAGCTTATCTTTTATGTTATTCGGCCCATATTTTTAAAAAAATATATAAAAGTACATATACTCGTTTTGCGACGCGTCCGTTCGCAAGCGTGCCAATAACCTTGATACCTGAGATGTTTTAATTTTGTTATGAATTTTGAAACTAAAATGTGCGCCTTATGAATATGATATGATTAAAACATATTTTAAACGACTCAACAATGAATAATTTTATTTATTCACATACTTGTGCATATGTACATCAAAATCGTAAATAAGCAGAGCAGATCGCAAGTTTACACATACATACAACCGAATCAAAGCATGCGTGACGTATAGAAATGCATGCACTTGGTCTTGATGACTGCATTCTTGTCGAGATTGCGAACCACTATTACCGATTTAAACTGCCACCTATACTAACATGCTGTATTCAAATAACACAAGCAAGCAAAGCAAAGTGCTAACTGAATGACGATTCTTAATCAGGGAGAGAACACAGACAGTCGGTTGGTCAATTAGTCATGAATGATGTCCGGTGAAAATTCCAATGGTTCCAATGTCGGGTCGCACTTATAGTTTACCAACTTCCTGTTGCTGAGGGAGAGCAAAGTGAGAACAACCGTCAAATTTAATGACTTAATGGTTGGACGGGCTGTGGAAGTTAAAGGATTTTCGGAGGATGGTGGTGGTGGCCGCATCACAATATGAATGGATGGAGTAATAAGCATGAGAGAGAGAATGCATGGATTCCCATTTGATTTGACGGATTGGCTGGTTAAAGTTAAAAAAATATAAAATGGTTACAACAAACAAATATTTCTCTGCTGAGGTTTCGTTTGTAACTCGGCTGAATATTTAATTTTGGTTAAATACACTGAGCATGGAAGTGGTGTTGCTGCTGCTGGTGACTGCCCACGGCTGGGAACTCTCCCCCACAAAACCTAGCGGAAGGAGCAGAAAGAAATTCTAATTTATCATAAATTGATAAGGTCAGCTCGGAAGATAATTATTCAACTTTTTACTTACTTACTACTAACTTTTTCTTTCGTTCCTGGGAGCTAATTTTCCTAAATTTTTGTTTACTACCTACAGGGATGAGGACGTTGTTATTATTTATTAATTAGTAAATTACATCACCGAGTTTACTTATTTGGGTTTGGCAATACACACACAGTAGGCTTCAATATTCAATATTTAATGTTCCGCCCAGAAGAGACGTCCTATTCTTTAATGAAAAATTGCTCTGAGAGGAGTAGTTTTTATTTTATTTATTAAGCAACCAACCAACCTCAACTAAAATGAATGAAATGTGATAATTATACTGACACAAGTAGCAATCTTGTGGATTTTGCCTTAAATAGTTATCCATCCAATAACGATTTGATTAGAGAAAAGAAAATCAGTATTTTATTAACTACAGATTTACTTAGGGTATCTACATATATTTGTTACTTGAGTAGAATAATATATGATATACGCCATAACTGTACGAGTCTGACCGGCCGCCACATACATTCAGTCGCCGTGAATGGGTCAGCAATCTGCCTCCAGCAACGGTGGAGCCGATTTCAAAATGGTATCGCTCATCGAAGACACGGACCGGCGAGAACGCCTCATGCAGTTGGAAGAGACAATAACTCACCCGAAGGGTATTCTCAACGTGGACTGCCTTTTGGTACGTCATTTGATTATTCATTGACTCGACAGGACGACAATTATTATGAGGGAATTTATTGATCTGATCAATCTCTGTAATTATTTTCTATGCAGGATACCGTACAAGCCTTAGTTTCAGACTGTGACCATCCACCATTGAAGAGGATGAAAAATATAGAAGCCTTTATAAATCGATGTATGAAAAATTATAATGACATCCGTAGCAGACTATGTTATTCATGTTGAGTAACGTTTTGTTGCAGATACGGACACAACGAATGGTGTTGGAAAGTTACGAATGCGTCCAGATGATTTTAATTTGATAAAAGTAATCGGCAGAGGTGCTTATGGTGAAGTACAATTGGTGAGCTATACTCAACGTTTATTTGTTAGGAAATCTCGAGCGTAGTATAAAAGAAGATATTTTGCAGGTGCGTCATAAATCAACATCCAAAGTATACGCCATGAAACTTTTGAGTAAATTTGAAATGATAAAACGATCAGGTAAGTTTACTCGTTTCTCTAAATCCGTAAGCTAATAATAATTCATTATTAAGCCACACAAACGAACTGCATTCAACTTTTACATTATTACTCGATAATAGACTCGGCCTTCTTCTGGGAAGAAAGAGACATTATGGCACATGCAAATTCAGAATGGATTGTTCAACTTCATTTCGCCTTCCAAGGTATGTATAACAGATATGTCAAGAATCTGAATTTATTATATATCTACAAATCAAAAACATTAATTAATCATTAACAAATCTCCTTTTTTCTCACTTTATTATTACGTCAACTACTCAAATCCTTGTCGTTTGCTGCATACTCCAAGACACAAAGTACCTTTATATGACTATGGACTACATGCCGGGTAAATTAGTACACCAGTAATTTTATGTATACATGTAGGCAATGAGAATTATGTTGTTTTGTTAAATTGACACATTTTTATTGGTTTGCGATTGAGTAATTGGTTTTGATCAGGTGGAGATTTGGTGAATCTTATGTCAAATTACGATGTTCCTGAAAAATGGGGTATGCTTCTGTTTGTTAATTTTGTTTTGGTCACAGTTATCACAAGCAAAAGAATTCGGAATTAATTTTTCAGCAAAATTTTACTGCGCCGAAGTGGTTCTTGCTTTGGATGCCATTCATTCCATGGGGTTTGTCCATAGAGATGTTAAACCTGACAATATGTTACTTGACAAACATGGGCATCTGAAGGTAAGTTAAAACCGTATGTTATAAAATGAACTGACTCAATGCTTTAAACTTTCACTAAAATAACGATTTATATTTTTATTAATATCAAGTTGGCCGATTTTGGAACGTGTATGAGAATGGACGCAGTAAGTTTATTAGTTATTTATTATCCTTACTTACATTCAATTTGAATATTAATATTTTTCCTTACAAAGAATGGACTAGTACATTCTGATACAGGTGAGCTGCTACTATTATTTTATTACTATCGATATGTCTGGTTTCCATCTTTTTGGTTCATCGTCATTTTTATCTTTCAATCATGTGTTGGCTTCTTTAAATATGTTTTCGCTTCATTAATTAAGTATTTGACTTTATATTTTTATAGCCGTCGGCACACCAGATTATATATCACCGGAAGTATTGAAGTCTCAAGGAGGAGGAGGGGGTGAAGGGGAATATGGCAGAGAATGTGAGTGACATATCGCTATCGCTTATCATCTCAGTTCGCAGTTGTGTGAAATAATATTTATTTGTAATAATAATGCTTTTGTGTTACAGGTGATTGGTGGTCCGTGGGGGTATTTTTATATGAAATGTCAGTTGCCTTTTTTTGCATTCGTTAAAATAATTTATGCGCTATCGCTGCTAATAGTGGTTGTTTTATAGGTTGGTTGGGGACACGCCGTTTTATGCTGATAGTTTGGTTGGGACGTATGGAAAAATAATGGATCATAAAAACTCTCTCAAATTTCCAGATGACGTAGGAATCAGCAACGATGGTGCGACAACATTTATTGATTTAAAGTTTAATTAACCTTTTTCTAAATTACAGATATGCATATTAAATGGATGTACGCGGTCTAATGATTTGTGTCGTATGTTGATTTCAGCGAAGAGTCTTATTTGTAGTTTTTTAATGGATCGAAATACTAGGTTAGGAAGAAATGGTGTAGAGGAAATTAAGGCGCATCGATTTTTTATTGACGACCAATGGAATTTTGAAAATATACGAAGATACGGTGAGTTTATTTCCTCTCTTGGCAGAACCAATCGGACAACTGTGTAATATCATTATGGTTGTTCGATAGATAACAACATTTAGACAAAAAGATTGTAGTAAATGCTAAATATTTACGGTTTCCTTAATTATGTAGGTGTTCCTCCTGTAGTGCCAGAACTCAATGGTGATGACGATACCAGTAATTTTGATGACGTTGGTAAGCCAAATATTCAGCCTCAGTGCACTATTCCCACTTTCTTGTACTTCAACCCTAAAATAATTTTGTCATGGCCGTTTGAATGAGAAACGCTGTGGTCTCGTCGGTTCCCATGTAACCTCTGGCTCTTTAGCTCAGGCTAAATATTCCCCAAGAATTTCTTTTGATTTATAAATGATTATAATGTCTCTTTTAACTAATAGCGTAAACTTTATGATTTATGACACAGAGAAAGATGACAGTCCAGAGGAGGACTTTCCAGTTCCTAAAACATTCGCCGGAAATCACTTACCTTTTGTTGGGTAAGTTTATTGAATATTATAATATATCTACTTTATTCAATGAAATATCTCCAAAAATATTCTCGTACCTTATTTACAGCTTTACTTATTCTCGAGATTATCAACTTTTATCTTCAAAGCGCTTGTCTTCGATGCCAAATCATTCTAGTGTAGTGGATGGAATTTCAAATTCAAGGGTATGTCTGTCTTGTCCTGTTCAATTTTTTTCAGTCATGATATGATACGTAATATTGTAGTTAGTAGCCTGTGATTAAACCATTTTTCACCTGCATTATCATAGGAAGGGGACGATCACAAATCATCCAACAACGTCAGTAGCAAGCTGATGGAATTGGAAGATTCTCGAGCAGTACTTTTATCTCAATTAGATGCTGCAACGAAACGGGAAGAAAGTTTGCGAGGAGAAGTTCGAGATTTTGAAAGAAGTTTAGGTACAGCTAGCTTTATGTATATAATTCTGATTAATTACATCAATAAATAATCCATGAACAATTTTAGCTCTTCTAAAACACGAAGTCAAAGAGTCTCAAAGAAAATCAGATGTTGAGCTTGAAGCTAAAAAGAATCTAGAAAATACAATGCAAGATTTGAAAAGAAAACTGGAGGAGGAGCACAACAAGCGGTCTAGAGAAATGAGCAATAATGTGCAGACAAATGAAAAAATCAACTCTTTAGAAAAACAGGTAACTACATTCAGATAGATTGTAAATTAAAATCCAAAACAGTTGTATAAAAAACAGTGATAAATTTTAATGTTAAACATTTTAATATCTAGTTGACAGAAGCTAATGAGAAATTAAAAACTGAATCTGAAAATTGTTCTCGACTCAAGTAAGCGATTTTACTTGTTTTTACTTTAGTTTTCAAGTCCTTGTCGTTTCGGTTCACTATAATTTCTCTCGTTGTTGTCTTCGTAGGAAACAAGTCAGCGAGTTGACAGTGCTATTAGCTTCAAAAGAACAGTCATTGAATGATAAGATTAATAGCCTGAAGGAAGGGAAAGACTTTCTTGAACTGGAGCTTGCAAAATTAAGGCTGGAAATAATTCAGGAAGAAAGCGTTCGACAACAAACTGCCGATTTGCAAACAGAATTAGAAAAGCGAACTCAATCACTCCAAACCGAGCTGGCCAAAACGAGAGAACGAGAAAGCAAAATAATCCAAGATAACCAGAGTTTATTAGAAAAATTAGTACATACCGAAAAATCATCAGCCTCTTTAGAACTTCAACTGAAATCATTAAGTGCCAAATATGATCAAGAAGTTAAAGCAATTCATAGTGAAATGGAACGTAAAAGTCCTGCCTCTAATCAAGAAGATCAAGTAAAAGGTATTGCTGCAAATTATTGCATTCATTTGTTTTTTTATATTCTTTCGCTTGAAGTTGTCGTCAGAATTTGTGATGTCACCCTACAATGGCATGTAGCTATTCTTCGTCCTTTTTACTCTTTGACCTTGTTTTATAAAAGCACATGAATTAAACATGTTCAGCAAAGCTATGCAGGTAGGAAGGTAAATGTGTGTAGACTGTATCCTTGTTGTTGGATTGTGTGTTTACAAATTTGTAGGTGCATGTATGTACATATGTATTTGATATTTGATTCTACGTATGCAGTAGTGTTTATATATTTATGCAGAAAGAACAAGGAAGGAATTAACAAAAAATGTATAGTTACCGTATGTATTTTTAATACTATACATACGACGGTGTCCTCAACATTGACATTTTATATTTAAATTTAACTTTAAAAACTAGGTCAAATCTTTCTACAATGTAAATACAAAATATTTTGACCTTGTTTCTTATCTATTATCATTTAATGCTGAAATCCCACAGAAAAGAATGAAAAATATTTGTGTATAAGGACACTTTCTTTTACGATGCCTTCTGTGTCTCATATTGTTGCTTTCAGCAGATCTTAAATCTATTATGTCATACACATTATGAATTTAATATGATTGATGGCTATTTGGTTATATATTTATTATAGCTCTGCAAGCAAAGCTAAATGAAGAGAAAACACATCGAAAACAAGCAGAAAGTTCAGGACAAGAAATGGAGCGTCAACTATCAATGCTATCCGTAGACTATCGACAGGTCCGAGCAGAGTTGCAGAAAATGGAAGGACAACTACGGCAAGAAGTTGATAAGACGAAAGGCCTATTGGTTCAGTTGGAACAAGAAGGTCTACGTCGGACCCAACTGCAATCTGAAATGGTATGTATGATAGAGTCATGTAATACCGTGAAACCAAAACCGATTGTTCGTTAATTTCAGAATATGCAGTCCAGTGAGATCTCACTATTAAAATCAAAGGAAAAACAATTACAACGAGAAATATCAGAAATGAGGGAAACAAAAAAGTCTTTGGAGGAAGATTTGCAAAAAATAAAAGCTGCCAAGGCCGTTGATGACTTACAAATGAAAGAGCTTCAAGAGCAGCTTGATACTGAAATTTCTTTTTCGGTAAGTTGACGATCGATGTATGCACGTTTTTATGGTATCTTTCCTCTTCTGAGTTGTTTTATGATATACTAGTATTTGCTACTTCTGATGGTAATATAATGATGGATTATAAACATTTATCTGAAATTCTTCTCATTGTCAGTTATTTTAAAAAAATATCTCACTTAAAGGCATGAATTGTAATGTACAAATTTAATCAATGCATTTGCAGACTTTGTACAAGGCCCAATTGACTGATTTGAGAGCCGACTTTGAAGAAAAGCGTAGACAAAATCAAGAACTTGAGGAAGAAAGAAATGAGCTCACTCGTCAATTACAAATGACTATCTCAAGAGCCGACTCGGAATCATTAGCTAAAAGTATTGCACATGAAACTATTGCAGACTTGGAGAAGGAAAAGACAATGAAAGAGTTGGAAATTAAGGACATTACAGCTCGTCACAAGACTGATATCACAAATAAGGATATCGCACTTCACTCGGTCAGGAAATATTAATGCAAAATTTTATGCAATGCAAATTTTTTAATTTGCATATCAAACTTAATGTATATACATATGTATTGATTATAGTTGAAAGACAAGGAAATTGATTATAAACGAAGCATCGATCAACTAAAGCATGAACGGGAGGAAATGGATCTAAAACTAAAATCATTACAAGAAGGTATTTTGCTTATATGGTATAACAGATATGGTTTATATTTTTAAGTTGATTATGATGACCAATTTGCTACTCTTGAAAGAGAATGACGAAAAATTTTTGAACCACCAATTCATTTACTGAAAATCTAACCAAACACTTCATGGTTTTGATCTGAAGATTTAGATGACTCTTGCTTATATATTTGTGGTTTTTCGTTTGTGTTTGTACAGATTTGCACAAATCTAGCGGAGATGAAGTTGACAAACTCAAGCGACAACTGCAGACTGAACAAATGCTAAAGATGCAAGCTGTCAACAAGTTGGCTGAAATTATGAACAGGTAAGTGAGGACTAAATTTTTAGTTAAAAACTATAAATATAAAAATAAACTAAAAATCTTAACTAGCTTTTATGATTATTTTATAGAAAAGATTTGAATCAATCAAGCAAAAAGGGGCAATCTGGTGATTTGAGGAAGAAGGAGAGAGAGTGCAGAAAGCTTCAACAGGAACTCATTCAAGAAAAGGAAAAGTTTAATCAGATGACTCTAAAATGGTAAAGATATCTAAACTCAGAATTTAGCTACGTATTATATTTGTTACATTAAAACGGGGCTATGAATGATTAAGTGAGATTTTTCTCGATAGGCAAAAAGATCTTCAAGACTTACAAGCTTCAATAAATGAAGAGCACCAGATAAAGTTAAAGTTACAAATGGAGGTATGTATGATAAGAATATAAATAATCTAGCTAAACATTGTAATGGATTTGGTAAATGGAATCAAATCAGATGGACTCTAAGGAATCGGAAATAGAAGCCTTGTCAAGAAAACTATGCGAAACTGCAAGGTACATACTACATATAACTAACAAGTTACCAGAAATAGTTTGAAGTTATAGCTTGCCATTCAATCCTTACGCTAATCAAAATGTAATTCGTATTTTTTTTAAACTTGCAGCGTCAGTTCGAATGAAGGTGACGGGTTTGTGGGGGATGAGACGCGATTAGAGGGGTGGATTTCGTTACCATCAAAACAAAACATACGTCGGCATGGGTGGAGAAAACAGTACGTCGTTGTATCTTCCCGGTAAGAATGATAATGTCACTCTGATATATTGCCACTGTTCATCCTATATTGATTATTATTTTGAAATGCAGCAAAATAATCTTTTACAATTCGGATCAAGAAAAGCAGAATCCAACCCGAGTATTGGATTTGAAGTAAGTGAAGTAAAATTGCATAATTAGCAGCGCTTTATAGCTATAGCTGTCTTTGCAAGTTATTGCAATAATGATTTCAAATACTGTGAATCGTGGAGGAAGAAAATGTGTTGCAAAAAATTATTGCAAAGAGAAAAACAACAGATGGTCATATAACATATTACTCTTAAAGTATTTAGTAGTATCTCCCTTTGACGTACCCATTTGCGTTGTTACCAACAATACCATGCAAATGAAACCCATCTGGTTTATTGCAAGGTCGTTGATTGACGTAACATGACGTGGCCTTAAAATCAGTTGCTTGAAATTGATTACTTATTATTATGTAATGCGTGCAGAAAATAAGGAAACGGCTTGTTGTAACTGTGTTATTGTCTCTTTGATTTACAGTAAAGTGTTTCACGTACGGTCTGTAACACAAGGAGATGTGATACGAGGTAGGTAGTTTTCATACTTGTGTATCTACTTATGTATATAGGGTATGATTTGTAATATCACAAATATGGATCACACTGGGAATCCACTACAGGTGAAAAATGAGTCAAATGATTAGCCACAGCTCCTGATTTATTTGCCAACTATAAGGACATCACGAATTTAAATAATCAGAATTTTACTTAATTGCTTTAATTTTAATTTCAGCCGATGCCAAAGAAATACCAAAAATATTTCAGGTAATTCAGGCCATTTCTTCTTCTGCCTTCGATTATTTGTTTTTCTCCTGTACATTGTCATCGAGCTGTCACAGGCTAGATGTTTTCCTGGAAATGATGAACTATATTTGCTACTCTTGAATTCAGCTGACGAATCTCTACCACCAATATTTATTGGCCTGATTGATTTATGATGAATTATGGCAAATATTTTTCAACGTAACTGTCCAAATTGTCACATTCAAACTTGAATCATTATTTACAGTTGCTATACGCTGGAGAAGGAGAGGCTAAACCAGAGGAAAGTCCTGAAGATAAGGAGAAACCAGGCACGTTGCTTCACAAAGGACATGAATTAGTTGCTATTTCTTTTCATATGCCAACAACATGTGAAGTGTGTCCACGCCCGTTATGGCACATGTTTCGACCTCCACCCGCACTTGAATGCAGAAGTAAGACTCTACAGAAAGTTTTTTTTTTTTTAATTATAGATAATTTTCAACCGGATGCGAGTTAATGCATGTTACCAAAATATTTTGTTGAAAGCTAGCGTGGTTTCAATAAAAAAATAAAAGTCGGGCATGACGCGAGATTGATAAAATATATTCTCAATCGTATGCATTAATGTAGGATGCAGGGTCAAGATACACAAGGAACATTATGGAGAGGAGGCCTTAGCTCCATGCAAGGTGCATTATGACCCAAATACCGCAAAAGAGCTATTGTTACTCGCCATATCTGAGGATGGTAAATTAAACATTTATTCACAATTTGAAAATACAAGTATAAAAGTTGAAGTGTCAAATAAATGGTAATATTTGTTTCATTCGTTCAGATCAAAAGTTGTGGGTTTCCAGACTGAGCAAGAAAATACAAAAATCGGGCTATAAAGCAGTGTCCCAATCGAGGTCTGTCTTCTATGTTTCCAGTCCCTTCAATTCCCATTAATACATAACGCAGTCGTTTAAATTGCTGGCCTGGAGCTATGCAAGAAAGCTATGTACTTATTACAGTGGTTTGGCTTCCAGTTTTCTTTTTTCCCACTATAAAATTAAACCATAACCTTTTATGTAGACTGACGTTGAGTGAGCCAGATTTTGTTTGCATGATTCATGAAAGTATGATTTGACAAATTAATTGCTCTACCTGAGCATCTATTTACATACTATCCGTGGATACAAGTATATGTTGTTTGTTCGCCCCACCCCCTTTCCTGTGTACTCAGCGAAGCTTGCAGACCCTGTAAATCTATAGTATTTTCTAATTTTTGTATTCTAGGATTTGACCTAGGTTTTAAAAAGGGGCTTTTTGCGGTGTTGATTACTCCACCAGTACGTTGCGTTCGCCTTGCGGTTTTTATGGCTATATTACTAGCTTTGCAATTTGAAAATTTGTTGGAGCAAATCGTCATTTCGTCACTTGTTGCTTACAGAGACAAACAAAAGTCAGCAACGCTTCCAGCACGAAGCAAGTGAGAATAAGGTGGATAAGTTCAAATCAGTTCAATCGTGAAATATATCGTCTTCCACACATTCCCTGTGTAATTACTTAACCTTATTGCTTTGTAATTGACCGAGTTTTAATTTATGTTACAAGTAGTTTGGAAATTGTCTTGTCCAGTCGTTATATAATCGTTCGTGCTTGACAAACAAGTACAAAAATCCGTTTCGTCGAATTGTGTCAACACTATTTTATCTTAAGTGCTATTATTTGCTACCGAAAAATGTTTAATCGTGTATAAGTCAGAGAGCATAATGTTGAAGTTTATTTACAACAAACTGAACAATAAACCCAAAAATGCCTTTCAGCAACTGAACCAGTTATCAACTTTTCTTATTTTTGGCATTCATTCTACTTAAGATCACATGGAATACCAATTCATAAAAATTACATATATCACATATTTTCTATAATTTGTGTATGCGTATAGTAATCAATTAGAAATTCAAGTTGAAGTATGTAGTACAAAGATACACTCAATTTTATCTTGGGATGCAAAATGCAAAACGTAGATATTTTCACTATCATGATCAAGTTCAGTGTTCTTTCTTGATTTGTTCGGGAATGGCGTCATATAATTTCATATCATGAGCATATGTATATGTACATATAAAGAAATTCAAGTTGGATGACCCACACTGATTAAATTCAATCCAGGTACGATGGATTTCAACAATGGTACGAAGGTTGAGTGACCGTGAAACTAACTCTGCCGTCATACCAGTAACTTCTTTATTGAAATATGGAAGTATAAGTGAATCAATGTATTTTTTATCTCGCAAAAAGTTTCGACAGTTTCGAGGCTTTCTCACAACCACTCCGTCGATGATCTTGATTGTCAGCACTGATACAAACAAATAATTCTCAACTCACGTTTCTAAATCATCAATATGTCGTCCCCGTGAGTGAGAAGGGGTTAAGTTTAAGTTTGCCTTATCATGATTGACCATCTGCCTTCCAATCACAGTTCCTCGTTCCGGTTGCATCTGTGTGATGATGACGCTTGAACTTATGTCTGTGTGATATTGGAAGTAGTAAGTACATATATATGTATTTAGTGTAAAGTATACGCATAACCTTTATACAAATCTACCAATATAATACTACTACGTACGTTTCGTTATTCTTTAGCATGAAAACGTGGCTTATAACTTCAACTTTCAAGTGTAATGAGTCAGTAGGTATTGTTGAAATATTTAAATGATATCCTTATTTAAATGATATCCTTATATATTTGAAAAAAAATGTCCTCAGATGCCGATGAAATTGCTTCAATAATAATACGAGGATGGAAACAACTATTTATAAATGATATCCTTTTAAATTGTGTTTTTGCAATTTGATAATATTCATCTTGCCAAGTATTATGTATACCAAACAATTTTCTATGCAAATTTTTTATCGTAAGAAGCCTTATGCATTTTCAACTGCGAAATTTGGGACTCCACTTCGATTGAACCTTTGACATTTGTTAACAATTATCTGCATTGTACGCTTTAGATTTACCTACATACAACCAATCTGCCGATGAAACTTCCCATGCAGAGACGAATTTGCAAATAAATATGCTTAGGTCGCGTCTATGGATGAAGTCTGAACGTCTACTTTTCGTAGGTCAACAAGATTAGAAAGTCCCGTTTTACTTCGTTCGTGGTGTCAGTCATCATAATCACAACGCCAATCATGTCAACAACTCACTTGCATGCGGAACTTTCGACTTCAATCCATTTAAATGAGATCCTTAATACATTAATACATTTATCCACACAACTCCACATGCCACGTACTCTTGTTTACGTTTTCCCTCTTTACTTGTTGCTTCACAATCATGACCTCTGTATTACTTTGTTATTACATGTAGAAACCGTTTTTACCTGGATTTATAACCTCTACATATGTTTTCTGAATGGAAATACATCAGGCAATAAAAAATTTATTCGAAAAGTAAAAGTTGACGTTTTTTAGAATTCGAATAGCTATAGTAGTAAATACATTTAGTCACATGATGTTTACCCATTTTTGTCTCAGTCGTAACATTACCTACATAACCTACCTGGGGATTTACGTAGCTTCTTTGTAATTCCATCACTGTAAACAATTTTTCTTGCAAACAAATTTACTTGGAACCGTTATAAATGCATACGTATGTAGGTACATATGTATGTGTATTTATTGCATAAGTCAATATACGGGTCAATGAAAATTGTATCCTATATTTAGGATTTGCTAGGATTGATAAGATTTTGTTTGTCAAAATTGATGATTTTTGTTGAATATGTACTTATTATGTACTTATGTTCTGCTATGAAAATGCTACTGCTAACATGTGTGACATATGTACATAGGATGTAAATCCGTGCGTCGACACCTCAAATGCGTGCCCTATTTGTACAGAATGACGTTGGTTCTGACACGTACATTTACGTAAAATTATGTAGTAGATGCGTTAACAACATCTGGAATAAGATCAATGTCGATTCATATTATTGAATGTTTATACAATATTTGAAATAAATGTAATATTTGGTACTAAATGATAGTTTACATAAGGCTTGAAAATATGGTAACTGTTATGTAAAAGCTGTTATTGTAGTACACATACATTTATATTGAAGTTCCTTATATAAATTGTGCGTAATGGTCAAATGCTAAATTCGAAGAAATAATCGTTAAACAAAGAAAACAAGAGTAGGAACAACTGCATTTCTATATATTTATTCATATATATATATGTATATATCTGCCTTGCACCTGGTATACATACATACATTCGTGTAGCCTGTATTTGCAGGAAAAGTTAGCATAAAAATAGTTAAAATACGTGTTGAAGCTATCAAATGTCCAATCGCTGGTAGCCACTGTTTCTTCGGTTACAGCACGGCCAATTGCAATAACCATATCGGAAGCCTACGTAACCTCCAAATAGCAGTGCCAAGATTATTACCAGGACTGACCCCACAGCGATGCCAATTACCGTTCCTACAGTACTATTATCCTTACTGCAAATTTGTGCGTCTGAGAAAGACTTTTGTGCTGATGTTTGCGGCCTAAAAGCTTCAACCTGCAGGGATGAAGTGAGGACAGTCAAATTGGTTCCGGTCATTACAGTTCTGGATATGCATAAGAATGAGTGATTAAAATCCACTGGGTAAAATGGACCATTTGCCAAGGAAGTAAAGTTTGCTGCAAAACATGAATTACGATTAAATTCAACAGAATAATATAGATATATGTATGCATCATTTACTTAGCATATAGTGCATATCATGCATACCTTGCAAAGTTTTCGGAGTCGTAGTTGTATTGTAAGTTGTCATCAACAAGGAAATCACTTGTATGTCATATTGTTTTGTATTATTCGGTCTGAATCCAAACTCGATAGTCAAAGAGTACTCAATCTCCTGCGACGTGTTGATGCTTTCTCTTTTCCATTCCAATAATAATGTTTGTGTCACATTCCCACAGTTGCCATTTCCGGTAGCATTAACTGGGACATCAATTTTCAAATCAGTGTTCTTTCCAAAAAAGAAGCTACTATTGAGATGAAGTTGGATGGCTCCATGGAATATTATGCAGGAACTGTTGCTGAAGGGAGGAGGGTATTTTACTTCCTGTGTCAGGATATTATGTGGAAATGGTTGTTCTGGGGTAGGAGAAGTAGGAGGTGGAAGCGTTGTCGAATCTGATGCGCTTGTTTTTGCCTGAAGTTTATCATCAGAAACGATTTCCGGGGGTGAAAGTTCTGCTTCTTCCATTTCGTCATTCTGCTGCGGCTGAACTTGGGAAATCAAAAGTGCGAAGATTGTAAAAACAAGTAAAATGTTGTTCACTTTTGCCATTGTACCGTTAATCGGTGTCTCTTATTTTTTATAACTATGAATGATTTCGAAAGAAGCTAATTCTACAATTTTATGTCTTTTCAAATATTACGTTTGCAATGACTATATGCGCATTTTCATTTGACAGGTTCTCACTTATGCTTATTATGTAGTTGTGTTTATTAGTAACGACCCATATACGGTTATCGCTTTATCAGTTTACATTGTAAATACAGCAGAATATCATAGAGTGGTAGGCAAACTAAATATAATTCGAGTCAATTTATTGATCACGGGACTATGCGCAAGAAGTATAACTACATGCTTCAAGGTTTGTTCACATTCAAAAATAAATGAAATATTAAACATTATGCACGTCTATTTATTTATTTTACAAGAGCGTACATAATTTTGAACAAGTTTACTATATAGATAGATAGATAAATAGTTTATTCCTCAGATTGATACAGCGGACGCCTTTACAATCAAATAATTAAATTAGAGATAACATTAGTTTCAGTTGACAGTTTTAATTTTGTCCTACTCCAACGATTTTACTTCTAATGTCTAGGGCTTTACATACGAACAAATAAATATTTTTAATTTTAGTTTCATTTAAATCTATAAAGAAATTGTGATAATTGCTACTTTCAACAAGTTTACTATATTTTATGCCTCGGAGGAGGTGGGCCGTACTCCAGTTCCAACAAAGTTATAACCAATTGCTATAATATCATGTCGATTATTGAAACCTCCGGCAAGCAATATCAAAATTACTCCTATTAAACATAAAGCAAAGAAACCCACAAAAATCAACCCCATCCCCTTTACAATATTTTCCCAATGAGTCGTCAAACTGTCATCAGCTTCACATTGAAATTGGTTATTAAACTTATTTTCATTAATATTAAAAGCTAGCAATCGAAAATTGGAGATACTCAAAAACAAATCTCCTCTCTGAAAGTTCACAGTGGAGCAGGCAAAAGTGTGATTCTTTGGGGTGAGAAAAGCAGCAAAGTCGGAAACGGAGTAAGAGTTAGGATTCTTATGATTTAATCCTTCCTCGACCACGATAGTGACGCTGTTAAGTGCAAATTCATTTGAATTAATCTTCAAATTTGAAAATTCACTCTCCCAAGAAGTGGCAAAGCCAAAGTAGATTGAATAAGAATGATACTGGTTAACAGATTCATCTGCTATTCCAAGGATGCTGGTTCTTCGGGTGGTATTCCAAGTCAATCTGATGTCTTGATAGTCCCCCCACAAAGATTGACAATGTCCAGTAGCTTGAGCATCGTATGGTACGAAAATAGTCTCCGTTTCATCTGTGAAATGTGAGTCTCCCAGAATTCTAAAACTTATTGCTCCTTCAAGTTTTATGCACGGATAAAGTGTGTCCGTGTCAAATATTGTCCATGCAGAGTCCCCAAATGACGTCCGATGATCCGGATGAACGTCGGCAAATGTGAATCTCTACAATTTTTTTGCTTCATTAAATTATAAATGGCCACTTTTGATAACATACAAAGAATATTTGAGCAAAAATTTGAAATACAATGCGTACTACCAAATTGAGGTGTTCAGACACTATAAGCGCAAGGAATATTTTGCTAAACCGGAAGTACACGATGTGTGACATGGTGACAAATATAATTCATTGTCCAATCAGTTCAAATATATAAATGTAAAACGTCTCGAGGTTTTAGCCTGGTTATTTTTGATGCAATTCCAGTTTCAGGTGTACTGATTTTATACATTTGTAGCTCCCACAATTGTATCCCATTTTAGTGCATACATAAACTGTTTGATGACGAATGTTGATAACAAAATCATAATGCAGAGCTGATAAGCAGCTCCTCATTGCACTCAACTAACGTTATGTATGCATGGACAATCATTAACCGTGACACAGAAGAAGAACTTAAGTTCTTCTTATGGTACCTTAAATGCAGTGTAAAATGGTCGAAATTTTCACACCTTAATTTATTATGCAGCATTAATGATTTCATCCTATATTTTTTTCCTTTTATCTATTTGTAAGATATGACAAATTTTATCCCATGAGATATATGTATGTAAAAAGATCACATAAATGCAGATAGAAAAATGATAAGTGCAAGCATCTATTGGTATCAAAGTTTAAATGCACATTTTGAAAAATTTATTTACAAAAAACTTTCGGAATGAACATATTTTGTATAATATGCAGAGACGACGTGTCATACACTTCACTTCATTCAATTTCAATACTTCTTGTCCACATTTGAATACCCACTTTCGGTTTGAAAGTGGTTTCATTGATGTCTGACTCCATTTAATCTTGGCCTTGAGCTTGAATCGTCAAACAAATTCAAGGAATCAATTTCTCAGTCAGACCATGTCGGAGCAAATAATTCAGGCACATATGTACATATGTGGACACACATCACGTATGCATTATATATATAACATTTTAATCACGCCTTTATTCAGTTCCCCTGGTCTATATAAGTTTCGTCCGTTTTGTACATCCGCATGAGATTTGTGTATGTGCGGCCGTCTGGAGATTTATGACGGCATGTATAAATACTTCCTTCATTGTAATCGAACTTTATCTGCGGAGAACCCTGTCATAATGCATTATGTCATATGTCCTGATGGCATGCATAGTGTCATGCAATTCCAATAAATCAGAGAAATAGCCACAAGCAACAACTTCCTCACATTTATATAAAAACAGACACAGTTAAAGCCTTACAATATGACACACACATGCGTCTCACTGTCTGGCTAGCTTTTCACCTTCAAGGTGACTTGTGAAAAGCTTAATGTTTCGTAGATTTCTGACAAGACTGGCAATAAATGAATAATCATATCCAACCAATAACACGATTTGTAAGTGCTACCTTGAATCTCTGGCACGTGTGTTTGACCAATATATTTCTACATAAGTTTAAAAACGGCGTTAATAATACATACTTACAAATACGCACAAACGTAGATTTATGTGTATATATCATTTATGAAAACGCATAAGTACATATATCATATATGATTGTATGATAAGGATCTGAGTAATAGTCTTTTAGTCTCACAGTAAAACTAATCTATTAATAAAAAAGGTTTGATTTTGAAATTTGGAGAAAATAAATGTCAAAGATGTCTTTTAATTATTCAGTTGAAATTGGAAAAATGCATGCATACATATGTCTAAATGAGAATTTATTCATATGTTCATGGTCACTTAAGTGTAATTTGGTTAAAATATTACTCCTTCACATTGGAGCATAAACACATAAGTACATATATAATATTTAGATATTCGCAATAAGGAAATTATGGCAGAAAATTAATAAGCACAACTTTTAAAATCTTTACAAAGCCAGACGTGAAGAAATGTATCGAGCGTTACTTTACCAGACTCTCTTTTATAGTAAGAAAACCTTCAAAAAAGACATTATCGAATCAAAATGTAATAAATAAACTTAGGTCGCCAATCACCATGTCTTGAAGTCAGTCTACAGATACTAGAAAAAACCTTTTCACCATATCTGTTCACTATGCGAAGAGTATAAACAAAATCTCACCGGATACCATCCTACAGAAAATTAATGTTTATATTATCAGTGAATAGTGTTTGGAAATTGTCACGTGGTCTACTTTGTGATTCGTTAAGATAACAAGTTAGGAGTTTCAAAACAATGCACGAATAGGGTAGTGGAGTCAAGAGACTTTACACACTGCAACGTATTTTCCGATTATGAATTATGCATTCTTGTTACACCAAAAGGTCATTTAGTTGACTGATTACTTTACGTATTTGACTGAAGTTCGATCCAATAAGTCTCTAGAGCTTATCCTATTTACAAAAATTTACATTGACATGAAATCCTGCAAAATTCTGAGATCAGTCTTGATAATATTGTCAGAAATGTTAGTAATTCTCATGAGTACTTTGCTCATGAGAACATACATATACTAGAATATAATATATATACTAAATACAATGGGCTTAGGAGGTTGCTAGTTCACGGACAGTAAAAGTTTGCATGCATTAGCTTCATTTTTTCTACACGTTTGAAGTACAAACCAAATGATCATGGTCGTCATGAGCTTATCTCAAAAATAAAGGCGTGGTCTGTATCAAAAGCACACGTACAAATGCACTAAGGATAAATGCGGATGTTTCTAGGACTAGCTTGGCAAATCGATGCTGGTGTCTTATCATGAATGATCAACATGTATGTATGTAAATCTGGTCTGTATGTGAACAAATCCTTTTATCCCTACTTAATTGAAACAAATTTATGTTTACGCACAAGCAGTGACAGGACAAAGCATTTTGCTTAAAGTTTCAAATTTACAGTTTCTTGGTATTGCCTGTTGCAACATCTGGCAGCTTTATCAAATATCAAATCTGCGATCAATTTTTCGATTAGTGTTATCTTCATTGCCAAAATCTGCTCGTGGACACGTTTTACATCTGTTCCATTTATATGTACTCACTCACTGAAGAAGTTTTACGTCGTAGATTATAAAAAAATTCAAAATAAATACAACGTAAAAATATGGATTCGAAAGTTGACCTTGTGTGGGGTTAGAATCTGTGGGGAGCTAACGTCATGTTCATAAACTCGCATTTATAAAAAACCAAAACATTTGACAAAAAGTAATGCGGTAAGACTGCATATTATATTGTGCAGCATTCTGTGTGTCCTTAACTGAGTAACTAGCTGAACAATAATTGAAATAAAAACATTTTTTGAGCTTGGTTTTACTGGGCGTTGTGTTGTACTAAATACGCACATTTTTAAAATAAATTACGTGTATTCAATATTTGTTACAAGCAGGTACATACATACTTATTTATGTAATGCAGAATTTTATGTCCGGTGCTGTTATGTGTAATTTCGGATTTATGCATTTGTTTAATAAATTCATCCAGTGTCATAAAGCACCGAACAACTTGACGCTTAGATATGTCAAATAACTTTGTTCGTCATATGTGAGCACTCTACTATATCGGCAGGTGTCACCCAGTGTGGAGCTCGCTTGATCTATGCATGTATGCCGTAGCTCACCTCTCTGAAAAATGGTTTCGTCAGAGCATTTTCGACCATCACTGAAAATATTTGCATAGCTTTGAATTTGAATTTTAGGATTTGAAAGTCTACGTAAATGTGAAGTGATGACAGCCACGCTCCAAAGTGATCATTACTCGATCCCCAAATCTGCTCCGTGGAAGTGCTCCATTATTCATGAGAATCCAAAGCCATAAATACTCTTGTGCTTGGTACATCAAATTCAGTCAGTCTCGCCTTCTTCACATCTTCACATCTTCACCAAAAAGTTTCAATTCTGAAGATTTTCAAATTTCCGAAATTAAATATTTCAAGTTCAATTTCAAAGTCGTATTAGACTAATAATTTCAAGGAATCAACATGAGTCTCATCACGTCTATTCTCGCTTTGTTTACTGCCCTTATTGCATTGGCACATCTTTTCAAGCCCAAAAAAGAATCAGGTAATTTAAAATTTTGTTTCAAGTTGGATACCAAATTTTTCAAGTTATGTCAAATACGAAACATTTTAAAACTTTGTGTAACCTTCAGGCACGACTGAGGCACCTGGACCCAGACCATGGCCCATTGTTGGAAATCTCCCATACATTGGAAAGTTTCACGACTTAATAGAAGCCTTCAAAAACCTAAAACAAGAATATGGTTCAGTAGCATCCATTAAATTGGGGGTAAGTTTTTAAAAGAATTTGGGATTCCAAGTACAGAAAACATAAATAAAATTGATTAACTTTTAATTAAATAGGTCCACAATGCAGTCGTAATTTGTGGTTTATCAAACTTTCGTGAAGTCCTCATAGAAAAAGGCAACTTGTTCGATGCTCGGGCTGCGTTTAAACGTTATGATCTTTTATTTGGTGGAGATAAAAATAACTGTAAGTAATTATTGCATTTTATCATTATTTTTAACGAAAAGTTTCTTAAATTGCACAGTTTTATTTATTAGTGTCTACTTTTTTTCATTCTAGCATTAGCATTTGCTGATGGTAGCGACTCTCACTCCAAGCACCGAAATGCCATTGCATTCCACACATTTGCAAAGAATGGTTCCAACAACTTTGAAAATTTGGAAAATATCACATCCCAACATGTTTACAGTCTCGTTGAAAACATGAAATCACAACTTCAGTCCGACCAGAAACTTGACGCAAAATTCCTCTTTGCTGAAACCATTGCAACCATATTTGTCAAGTACTTCACCAATCAAGACGTGGACCCTTGTGACGAGGTGTTTCAAAACATGATTTCATCTTTCGACGCCGTTTTCCAAGAAGTGAACGAAGGATGTATTGGCGATGTTCTTCCTTTTCTGATGCCATTCATCAACAAGTCAGAGTTTGTGGAGCTAACTCGAAAAGTCAGAGCCTTTTCAAACCAATGTTTTGACCCGGTCATTAGGCAACGAGTTGGGGGAGAGGTTCTCGATCAAAATAACAATAAACAAAAGATTCAGCCAGTCAAAGAATCCAATGTCATAAATGATTTGCTGGAAACTGTGGAGAACAATCCCGAAATGACATTGGAACATGTCATTTTCGCTTTCGAAGATATCATAGGAGGTCACAGTGCTGTATCCAATTCGTTGATTAGAATCATCCTGGAGCTTGCAAAAAATCCTGAAGTCCAAAAAAATATCCGGGAAGAAATCAGAGAACATGCTGCCGGATTTCCAACCATGTCCGACAGACTGACCTACTTGGAAGCGAGCATTTGGGAAGCTTTTCGTTTCATTTCATCTCCAATTGTTCCTCATGTTGCCACTCAAGATACCACAATTAACGGTAAGTTTCAAAATTTCGTTTTGAATGAAATGCAGAGAAAGTTGAAAAAATCGAGGTCATTTTTTTCTGAATATTTATACCCGACTGGATGTGATACATCTATTTTGGTACCGTTCCATGAATATTAATACAATTTCATGAAGGACTGTCGTTCTGAACAACTTGAGACCCACGTAATAAAAGAAAGTTTTGAATTACCATCAAAATATCAACACTCAGACTCGACATTTCTAGTCCATCATTCGTATTACAATCAATGACCTAGATTTTAGTCCCTGATTTATATATATGTTGGGTATTTCTATATTTCTTTTTTGTATTGCATACTTGACTTTAAAATTGTTTATTTATTTTAAATTCCAGATTACACCGTCAAAAAGGATACTGTTGTCTTCTTTAATAACTTGGACATGAACTTCTCTCCAGAACTGTGGGAATCTCCAGACAAATTTTTACCTGAACGCTTTATCACTTCTGACGGTCGTATCTCCAAACCCGATTATTTTCTTCCGTTCTCCAGCGGAAAACGTAGCTGTCTTGGGTACAAAATGGCAATCAATGTCACCAAAGTAATCCTTGCCAACTTATTACAAAATTTTGAAATCGAAATTGACCCATCCAGCAATTACACTATGGAGAGGGGAGTAATTGCTGTAGGAAAGAATAAGTCACTCCCATTCGTTTATAAGCCAGTGGTGGAGTAAATTGGAATTCGCAAATTAATTCCTAAAAAGTAATAAGTCATTATTTGCAAATGCAGAGTATTATATGCACTTAGGTGAGGTTTTTATTTTATATGCACTAACATATTTACCACGTAACTCAAGTGACTAACTCAAGTGACTTTATTATCCGACTGACTATAGTTATGTAACTGATAAAAGACTTTATTTAAAAAATTCTTACTAGTACGTAATATTACTCAAAAAGCTGTAAAATTAATCTGTAAATATTTATTTCTAATCGTAAGTAATGGATGCCTAAAGTACGATATTGAATAAAAGTATAAGAATTACGCAATGTCCACCACGATCCGTTTTCTCTTTAAGCCTCACATTCATGTACCTACCTTTTTCATGTTTAATGGATTTAGGTCTCTTTACACGCAAATCCTGACATGAATTGATTTTGATTTCGGATGACTTGCTTGGTGCGAGTCGAAATCTTAAAAATCTTTGAATCTTTTAAAATATTCTATGTCGACATTGCATTGCCAAGGTCTTATGATGCGGAAGGAGTGAGTCCGTACAGATATTTGTGGACATAAAAATACAAGCGACTGGTGAAAATAAATGCTGCGGTGTTCTATTTCAATGATCTTGAAAAATATTACAATATAATATAAAAATTATTCAGTTGATTTTTGAAGTTTTACCAAAAATAACTTTATTCTTATGACTTTACATTATATACAGAATACTGCTTTGATTTTAAATTGTTAGGTTGGTTGGTTCTCCAACGCAATGATGGTTCGATCTTTATAGCAGAGAATCAAAAATGGAATGAAACCATAATTCAAAATATTGAGGTTTCTGGGTTGTTTGTCTGGGTACTTATATACAAATATATACATGTACATACGTATGTACATACAATACATATATACTACCAAAACCCTACTTATATTTGCTCACATTACGTATAACCACAAATCTTAACATTTTCACGTTTAGATTATAGAATTTTTATATTTTTATAAGCAGTCAGTGACAAAATAGTTTACTAATCATTCAATAATTTAATCGAGCATAATAATAATTGTATTAAGTATGTTGACTGTATATGCACATGCAAAAAAGCACATGTACATGTGGGAATGGTGACATTTTTTCCGCTTCTGTATGTACAAAGTATTGTATGTATGCAGGAATGATATTGTCATTTTCTCAATCTTCAATTCAGCATATGTATCTCTCCCCTGAAAGCTAAACTTGCATTCACAAGGAACATGATCTGGATTGATTTAACATTTTGCACTTTGAACATTTTTAATCTGATCAAGAAACAAGCATATTTTTACAATTTCCAGCCTAGCCAACGAGATCTCCAGCTAGACTATGGGTTGAAGTTTTCGTTAGCAAACATATAAAAATGTCCCGTGGATGATATAAGAGTAAATCCTTTAGAATGCATGAAAAACTTGACTCCACTCGGACCTTCTGGAATGGACTGCACGTTTACCAAAATTACCTTAAAAATAAAACACTTTTTAAGCATCGTAAAAGTATTTTCGTACTGTTTTGAACCTACATGAATCTTTAGATCATTCCATGGAATATTGAGCAGAATTTGCAGTTCTAGCCCTTGCGCATCCAAAATCAGATAGTCAATTGTGTAGACTTGCAAAGCGGATGTGACGCTGAACAATGGAAAGCAAGGAATTCTCAATTTCCTCCAAACGTGCCCTTTACCATCACGATAAGTGGATTTTCTGTCGGGCATCATAGCATCTTGGTCTGATTGCGATGAGTTGTTCATTGAGGACTTGCTAATTTTTCGCAAAAAGTCTAGATTATGTGGGGTGGGGTCTGGCGAGAGACAAGCATTTAGTAGCCAGGCATTCCTTCTTTTAGCAATTAACTTGGGGAACAAGGTCGGGTCGGGTTCCATTAAAATTCCTGTCCAGTTGTAGTACAATTCTAAATCTAGCGTTTTTGAAAGTAAGTCCCCTTCGAAGGCTCGGCACTTCATATGAAGAAAAATATAAATTACTACATTTTTAAATGATTAAACTTTTAGTAATTTGTTTTTATGAGAAGAAAGGATCTTAGATTTTACGGCATTTACAGCATTTTTCTTTAGAATTATTTAGAATTTAAATAGGCTGGATTTCTGATATTGGTCGAGAAGTGAATGTGTAAAAAAAAACTTTTAATTGGTTGGAAAAAATAAAACTGTTTTTGATAATCGATCTTGCTCCTTCCGCAATATTTGACTTTGTTGGGAACACTACGGACAAATACCCTTAGCCTTACCTTACTTAATTATGCACAATATAACTTGTGCTGCTTATTAATACAATACACAAAATTTCAACACCACTTCAGAGAATTATTTCACTTCCAGAAAATTACAATTTTTTTTTTAGTTTTTAATTTGTTATTTCAGTAATGACTAGTCTATCTACTTTGCAAAGCAAAATTATAATGTTGCACATGTGCCATTTTGTAGTTCGTTTCTAAGATATCTTAGATATCTAAGATACCCGAATTTTTAAAAACGTCATAAGAAAGCTGACCATATTCTTTCATCCTTACCTCCACGAAAACACCATTATTCTGGAACAAAAAAATAACACTTTTTAACGTAAATACATATGTAGCCTTTGCAATAGAGCTGCAGTTGATTATACTTATTTAAGCAGTCATTATTCACTCCTGTTTTTATTAGTGCCTGGTGCAAACCTTTTTATTCAATATTTTTATGACATCACGAGTGACCCGATCTCGTATTCTTGGCTTGTAAATAATGCTGGCGTTCATAAATACGCCCGGTGATGGAGGTGGAGGATACGCTTCATTTGAATGAATATATTTCAAGAGTCTTGAATCATTTTGTAGGAATCCCAGCATTACTTCTTCCATGGAGAATGTATCTTCTGCAAGAAAATTCAACCATGTATGAATTATTCAATGAAATTTAATGACTAGAGTGTCTACGAGCCCACCTGGAACTGAACTCAGGAAGACGAGTTTGATGGTTACAGCCGTTATAAAAAATATGATCCAAATAGATAATACAACCAACCAATTCTTCTCAAGAAATCGCCTAATACAAAATTTTTATTAAATCTTAGATTAAATACAAGAATATCACGTGGTTTGTGTTAATCGGTTTGACACTTACATTATGGATGTCGGTTACTTGGAAATGGAAACGCCTGGTTGTCATTCTTTTGACAATATCGTTGTCTGCAATGCAATTGATGCGATGAAAATTAGGAAACTTTTGTATTTCAACTTTCATAAAGAGTTCCAATGAGGAAACTTGGCTCACTTACACATTTTCTTCTCAAAATGGCACGCACACAAATTCACTCTTCTTCAAGCGATGCTTAAAGAAGTGAGAGTGATAAGTACATACATGAATTCAATGCAGTATGTATAAGCTGGGACTTGGTGTTTTAAGTACTAACTGCCTGCATACGGATTTAGTGCATACCTGTGCATGTGTAAATGCATGTAAACAATTGCTACTTCAAGCACCCTAATTACTTAAATAAAAATGAGATTTTTACCCATGAGCACTCATGTTACTAAAAGAAAGGGGCTCAAATATTACTATCGAAATAGATAATAAGTGGAGATGCACCAAGGGTAAAATGTTTTGCTGTTTTCTGAAATTGGCTTGGTGCATCATTTATGGGTATTAAGAAGGGGCTTACAATAGTTGTTATCTGGGATCATAGTCGTTCCACATGGAATTATTTCGAATAACTTTGCTTGTCGAAAAGATCTCTTTTCGTTGTGGATGCCACCTTCAGATTTATTTTGTAATTTAGCTTTATGAAACTGGCACTGGATGGATCTCTAGTTATGAATTATCTTTTTTAGCTAAAGATGTTAGCTCAAAGTTTCATTCATTTTGTGGAACAGTATTATTAAATATCTAGTATCTATTTGAAACAGTTTCACGTACACATCAAAACTAAATTGAATAAGCCAGAAGACCAAGATTATTACACTTCTCTATTCTAACACCAACCATTATCGGGAGTTAAAACATCCATGTGTAGACTGTCATAGAAGAATACAGAAATCTTCAACCAATGTAAATTCTAGGATACAATTTAGCAATAAATACTACAGCGAGATCTGATAAATATGTACTTGACAGATTAATATTATGCCGAATTTTATGAAACTGATGAATATACGTCTTGTGAGATCGACCCACATCGAAATATTGTCTTCCTTCAAGTCCAAGTCAGATTAAATGTTAATCTCTGTTTAGAAAAAAATTATATCGTACCTTGATCTTTACAAGATCTGACATTTTATTGAGATCCCATACAAAGATCAACCCGAGTTTCGTCCATAAAGTAAAATGTAGACGGACGAGCATATGAATAAACCGGCAGCAAAAAGTCGACATGATACTCAACATTTCAGCAGTAAAATATTTCATCTGACTCTCACGCAATGGATCGCCTAGAAGAAAATAATGCACTCAATCTGCTCCCGATGAATTAATAATTTTTTTTTGTTGTGTAATAAACTTTGCAAATTTAGCTAGGCTCGTCTCAGATGGGATTTGCAGATGACATTTATACTCAAGTATCAGACTAATATACCTATGTATCGCATAATGCTCAAAACAAAATACCATTAGATAGCTGACTGGGAAACTTGGTGAGTATTATTAGAATGGGTATTGGAAAAAAAGCTGAAAAAGACGCAATGATATGAGTTGAGTTCGTTTGAGGATCTGGACCTGGAGGAAAAGGTACGACTTGTTGGACACGAATTCCCCAGCATTGTACTCCTCCTGCCCAACATTAGCTGGTCAAAATGACTGATGATGAGTGTCGCCTTGATTGGAGATGTTCCTGTGACGAACAAGCAAAAGGGAAAGGCAGTTGACGGAGTGATTTACCGTCTCAGTTTGACTCCCAATTTCTTTCCAGATCAACTTTAAGAATCTGTCTGATTTTCATTCATGTGTACTTTAGGATCATCTCGAGTCCTATTCGCTGTATTTTTGTCGTCCATACTCTGTCCACCTTTTTCGTCGTCACAACACGGCATATTTTTTTCAACAGCCAAGAAAGCAGTGTGTACCCACTGCAGCTATGTAGAGTATGATTTCGTTGTATTAATAATGAAATGTCCGGATGGTCCCCGTGCATGTAAATGTATGACAGAAGCATCAAAACGCCCACACGGAGATCGTGATCTTCCCCTACCAAGTCTCGATCATCAGATTAGAAGCCACAGGAGCGGAAAAATCGTGCTAAAGTTTTGTGCATAACCCGAAATATCTTGGAAACTCATCTCACTTTTAAACCTGTCCATCCCTTCAAATTCACTGATAAATCTCAAATCTAGGCTTGTGATGAATAATTCTGTGGTGCATGAAAATCAGGTCTGTTGCATGATCGTCATTCTCGTCTCCATATTTCTCAGTTCATATGGGATGCATGTATGTATGACTTTGGCCCTGGTAAAACAAAAGATGGTCAGGATAGATCACACTGGGCTGGATAGAACCCTCGTCGTCTTCAGTCAGCCTACTCTATATTGCTTCCTGTTTCTTTCTTAAACCCATATCGTCAAGTCATTTTTAAATGTCAAACTTATTTAAAAACTCTTTTTTACTTTTCCATACACCAAGCGAGAAGATACAGATATGTATAATGCATCATGCATTATAAAAGCATTATACTTTATTAAATTGCGGTAGCTACTTTTTGCGAACATTCTGTCTGTCTGCTCGCTTATGATAACTCTGAACGCTATACCATTTTGAAGTTCTGTATTCGGATATCGGATATTGACCCTGTATGGTATGATCTTAAAGGTCAAATGTCACCTAATTTTTAAGGGGTAAAGTTTAGGAGTAAAGATTATGTTATGCATAAATATAAATAGCATCACATGAATCATCCTCAGATTGCTCTACCGCTACTTTCTTATATGTATCTGCTATGCTCCAGAGTTTATTATTCTATGTATGAAACTGAAATCATACAACTCCTTTCTAAATTTATTTACTTTCCAACAATTTCACGAGTTGACAGGAACTATACCAGATTTTTATGATTGCATAATTTTATTGCTCCAGCATTATATTATTAAAATAACTATTTAAATACATGAAATTATGACAGGTATTACACATTTTGTGGAATTATTGTGTTTTGCAACCTCTTATCGGCTGTACTTGGTCGTGCTTTTGTAATCTTATATCGACTGTTTCATTTTCAACTGTCATTATTAAAAGAAATGCACTTCCAGGAAAACCTGATCGACGGGCCTAATTATAATTAAGTAATTGTAAATCTAGATGTTGAGCACAACTTGAATTATACATTACAGGTATGAATAGCAGGAAAGGCGACAAGCCTCTCGGCCTGGTACATACATACATCATCATTATCGGTTTGACGATAATTTGAAATGAAAATCTGATTCTAAGCTAACGTGTGTCCACTATGTATGTAAGCCGTGTGTAATAAGAGGACGTGATGATGATGAATTCTGCAACGATACGACATGTAACTTGTAAGTATGTCGTTACGAATATAATAAATGACATATAGGAATTTTATATACGTTACGTTAATACGGTAACGCAACGTAGATGTATAAACCCTCAATTACTCAATTGCAGAATAATTACGAGGAAGCTTTTCTGTCTTGACTGCAAATGACTCGTCGAATAACTATAATTTTACGAATAATTGGGTCCGATTCTAGGATTAAGAAACAATTAGCAAAATTAAAATTCCCGAATCTAAAACTTTTGTGCATTAATGAAATAAAGTAAAAGTAAAGATGACAATGGTGATTTGTATTTAATATTAATGCAATTTTTATTTTTATTATCAAGATTTGACCATTTACATTTTGCGCTGTTTTTTCTTGTGATGCTGACTAATCACAAATCCTTAAACTGAATAAATTTCCGGTGTCATATGGCGTTCCTTCATTCGGTATTGTCATCGTTGAATTCTTCTTGTTAATGACTGCCTAACTAGAATACTGATAATCTGCATGGGTGTATAATTATTTATATATAGCTGTATGTTGTATCTTTATGCATTTCTGTATTAATATTTGGTCTTATTATTGGGGCGGTGTGGCATGATGTCATGTTGCATGTAACAACCTAACCAAGTGTTACCCTGTACATACGCAGAAAAGTCAAAAGTAAAAAAAATGGAATTGATGAGATGAAGGATGAATTCAAGATTCATGGATGGATTCATCAAGATTCTTGACAGTCGTCTGTCCTCCACGTCGAAAAGCACATCCATAACAAAATAAATGATCCTCGGTTGAAGATGTGCCACAAGTCTGAATCCTATAATAATATACATACTCACATATCTATCTGTAGATTGGGCAGTCACTTTTTTGTTGGCCACTCTATATGTGCTTACATATTCGTTTTCCGATTGGAATAATACGCATACATACGAAATGAATGTACATGCGTCACACCAGGAGGAACTTAAATTATGAAGGTTCTAAGAATGAAACTGTAAGAATAACCTTGTCCAGATTTTACTTACAAAAGCTTAATTTCAAAGCGAGAACTCGTATAGTAAGTAATTATCTTAATTGCACTTCATTTCGATCACACTTCCATTTTAATTTGTTGACATGATTGTCCGATACACTTCAACTGATGATGGCATCCAATCACTATACATGCACATATATCAGGAGGTTTGATTACAGAATATATGCACATGTCTTATACGCAATTACGATGGCTAGTTATACCGGTGGTAAATGTTTTGGGAGGACAATAATTTCACAAGGCAAGAATTGAGCCACCACTATGTGGTATTACTTTATTGTTTCCTGTGCCAAAAGCAATATGCCTTAATCCAACTGTATGTGGTTATGCATACGCATTTAATCTACGTATGTACAAGTATCAACAAGTATATTGATCCCTATCGATTCATCATGCATGTCTCTGATTCCGGTGAATTAATTGAAAGATTTTTGAATGAAAAGAGGGCATCTTGAGATTTTATGAGATCGAATTCTTTGTTTCTTTTATACACTGACTGGTTGTTTTAGAGACAAAACTGTCTCAAAGCACACCCAAACTTGAGTGGTGATTTAAGCGATGCGAGTCGTTAAAGCCACGCCGCTTGTACACCACTTCGTGATGTGTGCGATTATGCATGAGAATATTTATTTGTTTATGCTGTGACACGATGAAACACGAAAATGCCAACAGGAACAGCAAGGCGTCGAATCTTTGTGTGGTCCCCTCCACAAGTCGAAGCCTCACTCGAGTACTAGAGCGAATATGTGCTCCTTGTGTGCACGCACAACATGTTATGTTTTCCATGATCTAGGTTATATGATGTCTCTAAGGACTGAAATCTTGATCGCATATGGAATTAAGCAAGTGAGTGGAACCATCGGAGGCGAGTTCATGAGTTCTTCTTCTTCGGCCTCCTCATCATCTCGCCACAAGCCAGCCAGTAATGTCCGCATGATAATAAGGAGATGATCTGAAAAGCGTCTTCGGAATGGAAGTTGCAGGAGGTGAAGTGGCTTAAAAACGAGTTTTGAGATATCCCAGGGCACATGACGGCTACTTGAATTTTGATTTTGTTGCTGCCACACCTCGAGAATTTCACTACCGGACATGAACTCATATCTCGCTCGACTCGCCCGTGTACTCGTATCAATGTACATAGATACGTAGCTGCTGACCCTCCCAGTTTCTCCGGATTTCGGCACTTTTTAATTACCCTGCCCATCCTTCTCGTCTCTCTGATAAATCCTATTCATCACCATCATCATCAATTCATTCATTCATTCTTCGCCTTTATCCTCCTGACTGCCCAATCGTCTGTCGGACTCGTGCATGGCACTTGATAAAACAAACAATGCCTGCGGTTTCTTTCACATTATTCCAGTAACACTATCCACTCCTCAGTGCTTGCTACCATAGACGACTATCCAAAAATATACTGCACCCGACGAATATTTATATGTATGCGGAGGACTTATGCTACGACCAGACTTTCTATGATTTTGTAGTGGGGCATAATTGGTGCACGTACAGTCAAACTACAAACTTTTGTGTATGATGTGTGGCATTGTGTGGGCCGGATTGTCATTTTGTTGAGACACTTTCGTTTTGTGGGATGTATTTACTAATACGATCTGCATAAACCGGCGTAATTTAATTCTTGCGGTGTGTAGCCCTGTACGTGATGTCATTCACTGAACTTTCATCCCACCTGACAAGTTCTTCGGGATATGGTGACTTTATATCAAATCTTGCATTACACATCATTTTAAGGTCAAGAAATAAGTACGAGAAATAAGTTGACTCTTGTCGTATTAGACTCGTCCCTTACTCCCTTCCATCATTTTGAACATGCAATGAATTAACTGAACAATGGGAAAGACTCGCATCATCTCTGTCTGTGATTTGATGCCGTGGTGTCAGTCGGCATGTCAGATACTCTAAAAACCAATGTTTTTACAGTAGCAGCAGCAGTGTGGTTTCATCCTGATCTTGATGTCTTACTCGATTAGTTACCACAAGCAAGGAAGCAACCAGTGACTCCCGTTTTGGGCATGGGTTTGTTGTAATGAAATGATAACATTCCATATTTGTCTAATTTTATAGTAAGAATGGAAAGTTAAAACCGTGTAATACGGTTTCCCTACATGAGATTAACCCGAAAAGTATTATTGGATGCTTGTGTAAATTCCAGAAGCTGGATTTTCCTTAATTACCTAATCCAGATTGTATCTGTATCAGTTGGAGGTAGGATGTGCGTTACATTTTAAATTTACGACACGAAAAATACAAAAGACGGTTCATGTAAATAGATACATACGCATGTACATAGTTGCTGTGCGGGTTTGATTATTATTTGGAGCTGGTGACTTCAAATTTTGTAAAAAAATAATTCTGACCGTATTCACTTCACTTGTCTCTCGTACATTTCATTCAGATGTTGTAAAACATATATAAACAAATGAGGTACGATGGTTGAAAAATGTACATCAAGAACGTATTACATATAGCACAACGCGTACATTTACTACTGGTTGGTCGATCCTTAGCTGAAGAGAACCTTCTGCAAGAAGATTGACAAATGCCTGTCAACCTCATCCAAGTTTCATATCTAACGTTGGCGTTGTCAGTTGGTAAGAAATAGAATTGAGCAATACTGTAATTTCTAATCCGTTCAAATCTAATCAATATTCATTGAAAGTGTTTAGTTTTTGTGGGGCACTTGTTTCTTGAGTTCACCTGTGATTGAATGCACTCTTGCCCAGACAAACTTTAATCGACTCCCAATTTCACCAGGCGACATAAACATCTTCGAATCGCCCAACACCATAAAAGGATTTAAACATGTTTAGTTAATGAAACGTAATCAAGAGTTACCTCAATTTATGCATGAGGTTATTTGTGTGAGGAGCGTGGCTCACATTGGCAAAATATTTATCAGCATCAAACACACGCCAGTAAATAATATTTACTTTTTAATTTCCAATTCTCGGCAACCTTCCCAGCGCAGTGTGCACTCCATAGTTGTACGAGCCTTCATTAGTGAATTGGGTACTTGTGCTTGAGAATTAGGTTTGAAACTCATTTGACAAAAAAGGATAAAGGCAAAGCTATTCCTAAAAGCTCTGGGTGGTGAGCACAAAATAAGTACTTTAATTTTTTGGTTTACCTCATCGCCAATTAATTACTGGCTAATTGTTCTTCTAGCATGAACAGAATAGAACTGCTACATGTAGTTTTTATTGATTTGACACTTCTGAGAGCCGCAGTTTTACTTTGTTCTGCTTATTTACACCAAGTCTTATCTGCTTGAATTTGGTTAATCACGACTCAGATTCTTATGTTTAAAAAAATCTTAATAAGTGTAAGTGTGTAGGTATTAGCGAGCTACTTATCATTCCGCATCTGCATAAAAACACACACGTACTTACCTTTGTACGTGCTATTTATTGAATGAATATAGCAAATTGTGTTAACAATAGTTTTCAAAATAGATTTAATTATGATATGCGCATATATTTTCTTTATTTGTTAGATAATTTTAGATCCTATGCAAAGAACTCGCTATCATACGCGCTTAGTAAATACATGCCTGATCAGCACTCAGGATATTGTTAATGATTAGTTTGATATCTTCATTTTTAATGAGCTTTGAATCCTGCAAATCATTAAAACGATATAAAAGTATATAGTAACACTTGGTATTTATTGTAGCATTGCCCCAGGATTGTCGTTTACAGCATGCATACTCTTACTTATAACTATTTACGGCATCAAAAATGATAAGACTGCAAAAACTAATGTATGTAAAAGTAGGGTAGTTATTATAAAAAAAAGTTGGCAAATAAGTTAGTTAATAAAATTAAGGATATTATATTCTGCTCACACAAACCAGTTCGTTTCAGTACGAATTACCTTGTTTTTCGTTTCCTGAGAATGCTTGGCATCCTTAATGTAACACAATGTGAAGATACGTATAAATATGTACCGTCAGTGATGAGTATTAAATTGAAGTATTGAATATCGTCGTCAAGATATGGCTGGTAGAAGAACGCCGAAAAAATTAGCGAGGTAATTACAGCTTTCAAGTCGCAGTAAACAAATTGTCGAAGGATGCATGCAAACATATCATTTCCTTTCTGAACATCAGTGCCAAGACGTGATGACCAACTGATGAATTGACGATACACATTCCGTCCGGATATTAGTTGCATGGGAATTTTGAAACCAGTAACTCGTCGTATAGTAAACGAGTGGTTGTTGGCTTAATTCAGTTTGCGTATGTGTTGGTTGGTATTACATGCAAGTTCACATTTCCACCATGTCTTCAAACCACGTTTTGTCTGTCAGTAATAATAATAACGGAACTTTGTCCTTTTTATTTTTTGGACGAGAGGTTTAATTCCCAGTGCGAATTTGGTTTCCGTTTCAAAAAGTGCATTGCTACATGTACGTACGTACAAATAAATGTTTTAATCTAATGTTCCATCACGACTGCCAGCGAGGCAAGGTTAATAAATAAACATGTATGCACGTATATACGCATTCATATGAAGTATATAGAGACAAATAAGTTCAATTATTTCAACCAAAATAAAATGATATCGGTATTATCAAGAAGATTTAGAAAATTTTAATTTTATTCGATTATTTTAACTCATGCGTTTACAAATTTGTTGATTCGATTGTATGTTTATTACGCGCAGTTAAATATACGCGAAGTTAAATAGGTTGGTAAATATGTTCAGCATTTGCTACACTTAATTTTTATGTCATAGGATCCTAAATATATTCAAAATATATGTTGCGTTAAATTAATTAAATTATCTGGGACACTAGTTAGGAAGAGGTGAATAATTAACTACGAAAACATTCTAACATCAGCTTTGATGACTTGCCCAAATAAATCAGGATTCATAGCGAAAATATTTTTCGAGACTATCGTTTAAGATGATATTGAAAATACTTGAACAAAAGATAGAGATATAGATAACCCGTATTAACTAAACATAAAATTGTTAAGAAATCTTGCTATATGATGATAAAGATGAATTTTTGTCGAATTTTGTGTCCCAATCAGTGGAATGAGAGACGATATTTTGTGTGTGGAACGGTTCTTAGAAAATTATAGTATAAGCTAATAACCCCTTAAATATGAATACCTAAATAATTTATTTGTATTATTTTTTATATTTTTTACTTGATACATGTGTATTTAGCTGTATGTAATCTAGATATGAGTTGCATTTGCAGAAATCAATTTGGTACTTTCATGAACTTCCTACACAACAATACACGTGAATCAGCTTGAAGGATTCAGTATTTTTTCGGTCCATTGATTGACTGCCTTTTCAAACTTATCCTAAATAATCATATGTAATCATAATATATGCATACACTGTCACCAATAATGAATGAACTGTACAAATGGTAACGAAAAAATTAAATCGATCTTGAATTTATCATGAACGTGACACTGCACAAATTGATCCCAACTTGTTTGGTTTCGTCGATATAGGATAAACCACAAGACAAGAGTGACAATTCCACAAAAAAATGTGCTTGATGAAGGAAGGAGGCGACTGCGTGGAGATAACAATTCAGATATGGACACTGCATGTCACGCTATGTAATTAATAAAAATATGTACATATTATCTGCACTATAACACTTTACACTGTTGCATTCAATGTTTTTGAAAAAAATAACTAGGATGCGTGAATCGATGGGTAATTACAGTATTACTAATTTGTTCCGTTACAGGCTTCCGAGAGTGCCTTGTAGATGAGACTAGAGGACTCGTAATCGTGGGGAGCACTAGCCGCACCCCCGTTGGAAGACCCTGTAGCAGAGCTGGAACCCGTGTTGCTTATTGTACTTCCGGGACTGTTGTTGTGATGATCGTATGGGGAGGACATGAGACTATCCTGAGGTTCAATTTTCATGCTGTACCCATAAAACGAGTTGTGATTGGCATCCATGCCATGATAACTTACGCCCGGATTGGGAGATGGGACGTAATCGTAGTAGTTACTTGACCCTGGTGGCGGCGCGTGCTCCAAGTGATACGACCCCCGTTGCAACATTTCCTCCGACTCCTGTTGAGCTAACCAGTGCTGGTAGTGATGGTCCCCATATTGTGGGGACGAGTTGTACAAACCTGGAGAATGACCGGGCATCGGGTCGTAGAATTCCATTTGTCGCCCGTGATGATGATGTTGAACATACTGCTCATGCTGCTGCTGCTGCTGCTGGATCTGGTTTGCAATATGTTGATGATGATGATGGGATTGGATTTGTTGGTGTTGGTGGTGTATTTGCAGATTTGGGTGATTGTTAATGACTTGAACTCCGTTATGAATGCCTGAAGAAAACTGGGCAAAGGGTGGAGTTCTCGGTGGGTTCAACTTGTTTGTAAATTTCACGAGTTGCATGACTGGGCTTGTTTTTGCCCCCCTAGCTTCGTCAGAGAGTTGCCCTTCTTTGTCAGAATTTTCTAACCTCTGGGACTCCTAAACATGTTCATACAACAGATTGTCATACAGATCTAGTAAAATTCTGCATATGTGCATGTCACGAAATTATCAGACTGACAAAAAGGCAGAAAGTTAAAAAAATCATGCACATTTCAAATTTGCGACTATGCAAATTAGATATAGTACGGATTTGAAATCATACTTTTGTTAAGGTTGATCTGCTACCTTACCTGGTTATTTTCTAGTGGGGACATCTCAGGTGTGGGAAGAATTTTTTCTCCGTCTGAAATATTTTTTTTAAACTTTATTTCATGAACGATTGAAATTTTCTCAATGTGCTGCTCACCATAATGAGATTGCGATGTTTGATGTTGCGAAATGTTGTGATGGTCAACGGGAGAGTCCAAGAGGGTTTGCTGGAGCAGCGTTGTCCCAGTGCCTGCAGAAAGAACAATGGAAAGCAATCATTAAAATGCAGGTGCGTTGTTGTGCGTATGTATTGTTACATTCAATCAGATGAACAACAGAATGCACATTGTGTGTGATACAACATATTTATGTAGGGATGAAAAACTGAGACAATGGAATGCAAAAGTGCAACTGCATCTTATAAAAGCGACACAAAGTAGCATTGTTGTTTACTTTCTGATGATACATAAGTACGTACATAAATATTGCAAGTAAACAAAAGTGCAATTACTGCAAACCACCTAGTTTTGCATACAACTTTGTAGTAAGTCATGTATTCACTAAACCAGTTATGATTTCGTAGCTCAATTTTTGAAGAACAAGTGGAATTACCTTGTGGCAACCCCTTTCGGAAATCCTTATTTCCAGAATCAGGGTCAGGACTGGCGTTGGGCGATGCTTCAGGAGTGTGGAATGCACCAAACTGAGCATTGTACACGTCTTCTCCATTGTTGGACGGCAACAAAATTTCATTCGTCCTGCGACCACCACGCTTGGTCTGCTTCCGTCTGCGAGGCCGATACTTGTAATTGGGGTGAGTCTAAAAATACACAGTATGGGTCATTTTAGAGACTTCAAGTTTCATGTTGAGTTAATTAAACGGAAATCTTATATAAATTGCAATATCTTCAAGTTATACAGTAGAATTACTCTCCAGATGTAAAGACTTAAGGACAATTTGTCACAATTGCACATGAATAAATTAAACTAGTACAATACCTGCATATGTAAAACCCGAAGACGTTCAGCCTCCTCGACAAATGGGCGCCTAAAAAATTAAACACATCATTTGTTTGTTAATAACTGTGCAGAAGTAGTACTGCAGTATTAATGTAATGAGTTAATAAAAAATCAAATGCGTACCTATCATTTGGTGTCATTCCAGTTTTCCATTTTTTTCCTGCAAATAACAACAGAGTCATGTAAATTAGTTGTATATTAAGATAATGATTAATCTTGAGCAAGCTTCTGAATAAAACAGAGTCGTCGTCGTACGTCGCATGCCACCATCAAGTGCACCTACTGCACATTCTTTCCCTTGAGACTTATCACATTCAGTGAATCATGTTTGAAACTTGAATTTCATTAGGAACATATGCATCTAACTTATGTATCCGCGTGTATAGCGCCAGGCTTCAACATTGCAAATGTCTAGGTAATTCTATGTGATCTATGTATAGGATCCATTAATCACACGGTGCGGGTAATTGTCCACCAAGATAATAATTCCAAGCTTCAGGCTGTCAATCATGCGAGATTAGATCATTACTCATTCAAAATCCTCCGGGCAGTTTGAGACCGTCTTTCAAAATACGACGAATCTACATATACCTGCTTTTGCTCAATATTTTATCATAAATAAATGTACTTTTTTCTGGGTGTCATAGGTGGACAGTTTCTGAAAACCAATCTGGATGTTATCATGGTGCGATAACTTTTGGCAATTGATAAATAGTTAAATATCCAAAATTCCCCAGTCGTCAATAATCTGTTAAAATATGATACGAGCTGTTGTCCATTCCAGCACTTTTTGGGATGATCGCATATGTAGAAGCTGTCACAATCTCATCCAAAGGTGTGTATCAACGCGTGGATTAGACAAGCCAACACGTGCTTAAGCACTTAAGCACTTGTGCACAGATAAAGCAACTACATGCATATACACAAATTTGATTTGGTTAAGGCGTATTCACTAATATTAAGCTCTGACCATTCACTTGAATCTTAATCATCGTTGCGTGTTCGCATTAACAAAATTGTTTTTTCCATATCATTTTAGAGTTCAAAGTATTTGCATGCACATCATCCGTACACACAGTTTCTCCTTCCACAGACTCTGATTGAAATAGGACTCTGAGGTTTTTCACCCCCAAAATCATGACATATTTTGTATTATTCATAACTTAATCAAGCGCAAGAGTTTGTCTAAGCGAAACAAATTGCACTTCATCAGTAAGCAACGGATTCGAACACGAACTGTTAGTTACTTTGGTAAGTAAGGAAAAGAATAACTCGGGTCGACCAAATTAATCAGTTTTGTCTGTCGCTGTCCCTGCAGACATGTGCAGAAATAATCATATTTCATAATCTGCATGCCTTGTGTGAATAAATCTGGTAAAGTATGTAACAACATGTCTTCTGGTTAGTCTCGGCCAGAGTCCGACACTTGTTGGATATGCACATGCCATAACTTTTCTCTGCTTTCAGAGAAAAGGTGGACCAAATTTATTTCATATTCCTCATTATCCCCACCACCATTTCTACACGGGCACACATATTCCACTCAAACTGTGAATTTTCCTACTTAGGAAACCTTATAGTTGACATGTTTCAACCAAACTGCTGCGCTCCTCTGCATGCGATGGTGGTGATGATGATGATGATCCGTTGTAATTTGTTAACAATTTGGTAAAACCTCTTAAATAGAACATAAAGCGGATAAAATTGTATAACAAGTCAGAGCTGCAAAAAGTGTTGAGGATCAGTAATTGGTGCAAATAGTAAATAAGCCACTCCTCCCTCATCTCTGCAGAAGAGCATCTCCCATTCTAGAAAAACGAAGGAATGTCTCAGAGTTGATTTGCCAAGAAAGTTGAGAGATGAGATAAAGTACTAAAACATTGTATAGCCGCATCTTCCTCATGCCCAGCTTGATGTGAAACAGAGTTTCGGTCATAATGTTGCTCAAATCCCTCTGCGAGCGAGTGAAGCTACGTGGAGCAAAACCTTTGAGAGGACAGCAAAAGAGCAAACCACACTATAAAACAAATTCATAGCCTGCTGTCGGAGACTGCCAGCCATAAAAAATTCTTTTACATCTTCGTGGCATAATCTAGACAAATGGCAGAGTATGCATAATCACACTGCTGCGCTGGCCGTTAATGGAGATAAGCTATACTTTTTGTGTACTTTTCACATCACCAGCACAAGCAGAAAAAGACGAAGAGATGTTTGATTTGCACGACCAAGAAGACGAGGACGCAGAAGACTATAAAATGTTAGCAGCACATGAAAGGAGTTTGAGTCTATATCGCTACATCTTCTTCCACCTAAAAGAAATCCATCCTACTGCTACAATCGTCCCTCGTCCTCTTCACTGCTGGCTGAATTGCAAATAAATTGCTGCGACGTGTTATGCATGCATGTCGAAGGTGGTGGATCTGTTTACCATCCAACAATTTGTACCTCCATCCATTTATTAGTTGGCACTATCTCTCGTCTCTCGCTCTCCTGTCCGCTTTCTGTTAAAGACTTTTTGCTTTGCCTCTGAAATCCCCTCTCATCTCGCCTGCGTGCATGTTCATCTCCCATTGTCGTGACTTCAAATAAATATTTAATTTTCACCCTTACTTAACATTTAACATGCACTCAATCAAGCGCTGCTACAGAATATCAATGGCGAAATGATCATCAAATTGAGTAAGTGAGGAGCCTAAAAATGGATACTCTTCATGCCGAAACATGCAGCAAGAAACATAAAGATTGTTACATAAATTTTGTTTTATGAACCATTATTCTCATATGTTGCCCGACCTCACATTAAAAAATTTCAAACATGTTGGCACATTGCTTGCTGAGAAAGAGTATGTATGAGAAATAAAGTGAGTTAAGATTTTGTCATGAATCATGATGACCAAGAAGATCATGACTAAAACAAGTGTTGATCTCATCAATGAAATCACAAGCGCCGATCTAACAATCGATTTAATCTTGAAATCAAAAGTTTAGTAAATTGTTTGAAAGAACCATCAATTTGTTGCTGTTGGAATAAAATATTGGTTTCTTAACGCTGATCCCGTCTTGAAAGTTCAATTAACCCAGAAATCTGTCATCTTCTTTCAACGGAAAAATAATTAGATTGTGTAAACTTTTGTATATATTCTGGTGTATGTACCTAAATAAATTTAATAAGCAACGTTTCAATAATTTCCCGTAATATTTTCTCTCCAAAAGAGATTGCAACTTATGTATTTGTTGGCACAACATAGCCCACGCCGTTTAAAAGATGGTCACAGCAAGGGTTTTCATGTACACATCTAGATAGATACACGTACATATGAAATTCGAGAGTGCGCGTATCTGGTGAAGATGATGCGATCAAATGTGTTTAAAACTTGTTCGGGACGTGTGAGTTGAGGTGGGAAATGTGTAAGATGAAGGATAAATATGAGTTCTTATCAAAGGAGGAAGATCGACAAAGGCGGGCAGAGTCAAGAACATTTCGAGCTTTCGTCCTGCTGCGGCGCTTAGTCCACTCCATTAGTTACGCCCATCTTTCTTCGCTTGGCTAATTATTCAACCGTGTAAAAAAGCCAATGACTAATGAGTGCAGTGCACACTGATTGCGGCGTTGTTGGTGTTGGGCTTGCACTGCGTCGCCCATTTACTCTGCGTCTCTCTATGAGTTTTAATTACTTCTCAGCAGTTGTCCCCTTCCCCTTCGCAGGGTTTCCACCACTGCTGCTGCCACTAATAACTAACTAATGCGGTTAGCCAGGATTTTTTAACCCCACCACCAACGCAACACCCAGGGTCTCGCACACTGTTCTCAATACTTTAATGGAATAATGACCAGCATCATAATATTGTTACGTGGTGGTGTCAATTTGTATCACAGTTTCCAGCCAAAAGAGATTCTCTTTACAGCGAGGCAGGCAGGCTGCCAAGCAATTAACTAAATCCAAATCTTGCTCCCATCGCCATGCACCATAGTGTACGGATTACTACGGATACATAAATGCTCCCACCTACCAAACACACCAGCTACGAATGTGCTATACATGCACAGACTGCATTATTATCTTGCAGTATAAGTGAGAAAGAAGAATTTTCCGATGATAAAACAAACTCATTGGCAGCGGGACGCAACTCGGAGGTGAGTCAATATAATAATTTCATCCCAAATGGAAGTGCATGGAACAAGACACTTTTCTTTCTCACGTACTCGGTCAACTCAAAGCCTTGAAGATAAGAAGTAATCTTGGCAAACAAATGGGCTACCTTAGGATGAGGCAAGAGGAGACGGGAAAATGTATGGCCAGCCAAGATGAGAAACGCCACGTAAATACTTATGTAATAAGTATATGAATCTTTCCTAAATTCGAACCCATGCAGCGTGGTTCTCGCTGTCTCTAGAAACACTGTTGATTGTTGAGACTTATTACTACCACATCCGTCTGCGAATATAGAGTGAAACATGCTTATTGACTTTGCTTGTTGACTGTAACACTGCAGCTACTACGAACGAACGAACGAAATACTTTCTGATGGATTCCACAAATCCACACTTGAACACTTACCAAATTGGTTAAAAACTCGGGGTGGGAACTTACTTTGTACCACCGACCACGAAGCATTTTAATATCGCCTCGTTTGAAATCTAATTAATGTATTTCGTGTTTTTATTATGGCACTGCGACCTCAACAGTAAATCTTTCAAACACATTTCGAGCCTGCCATCCAACAGACAACCGGAGGCTTTGTGGTGTAAGAACGGCGGCTTCAAATTGTCACTTTTAGTAAAGTTGTGTGCATTCCATACAAAAACATTATTTATTGTAAAATTTTTTGTACACAATGTAATGAAATTAAGTGCAGTTTGTTTGACGTAAGAAACCCGATGTATCTCAAAACAAAATCTTGTCAGTAAGTAGGGAGGTAATCACCGAATTCTGTGCTTGTAAAAAATTGTACAGATATATTTTTTGAATTATTTCGTAAATTTTCAAAGAGCTTTTATTCACAAACATCCATGCATGCGCCTTACACGGAATGTTCAATTATATTTTCCATTTCTCAGGATTTTTTGCATAATCATACATAGATGAGCAGTGGGTAGGAGGAAAAACAACAAGGAAGTAATAACAAATACCGAATGCGTGACCCCTTGAACATGTTCTT